ATTTAAGCGGGAGAAATAAATGAGAAAATGTTGTAAGCGTACATTTAAAAAAAGAATTTTATCGTTCGTAATGGTTTTTTCAAAGGAAAATGTGACGCGAGAATGAATATTTACTTATGTAAATGATAAACAAATTAACTGACGATTTATAATAATCCATGAAAAAATAAAACTAAATCATTCTTCTTTATACTCGCGCGAATCGTATAATAAAAAGTTATAATCCATTCTTTGAGACGATAATACCATAATTTATTATAAGACATTATTTTTAATAATTATTTACAATCTAAATATATAATTTTGCATTCATTGATATAAATTTATAATTACAGTAGCTTCAATTATTTTTTATAATTATAGAAGCAATTTGTTACAAGTACAAATGAAGACGTAGAGAAAATTAAATTGAGAGGATTAATCATATGAAAACGTCAAGTCATATTCTTCTTATACTTAAATAATATCGACAATTGTATACAAAAATGATACAAATTTATAGTTTCAAGCAGTCATGGCAAGCTTACTTGTAAAAGATACTCCATCATAGCGTCCTCTTTGACGCTCTTTCCTCGTAAATTTAAAATGAAAACTTATATTTTTTGTAATGCCTTTAGAAAAGTGCAGTGACGCAACGATGACGATGACACAATGTGACACAAGTTAAAAGAAGTATAGCTAACTACTCCACACGACAGGAATGTATGAAGGAACGAACGAACGAACGAACAAACGACTGTGTGTCACACGTGACGAACTTGTACTCCCAACGAAGCTAATCTACGACTATACAACACGTTGTTGCGTTAAATGAAAGAGTAGTAACGATCAACCGTTTATCACTTCGTCTTTTAAAAGGAGGAGGAGGAGGAGGAAGAAAAGGAGGAGGAAAGAGAAAATATAAGAAACTAAAACGCACGAAGTTCTTTTTCAAAATCGGTTTAGAAATGAAAAATTGAAGAAAAACCGTAACGAACAAGCAAACCCCTTCATTTAATAGTTATCTTATTATTTGACCTTCTACCCGAGTCATCTTATCTTCAACCGCGATATTAATTATCATAAACAACATTTGACTCTTCATTTGATCTTCAACGATTTTTTCTATCCACTTCTCTCAACGAAATATAATAATTCTAACTAAATTTACTCGAATCAATCGATTCAAATATTCAATTATAATTTTATAATTAAACACAGTTAATTTTTTGTACTTTTCTTTTCTTCTCAATAGACTTTTATTAGAAAATTCTTTTAATTATTTTAATAAACTATAAATGACTATTATCCTAAGATATAGTTTTTGTTAATGACCAATTACGACACAAATATGTATTGATAAATTGTCAGTAGATTTAGTGTTAAGAATATTTTTCTAATGATGACTTATCTCCTTCTTATTTTCATTTCTATAAAATATCTAATATTAAGCAAATTCTAATAAAAAATTTCTAATTTTATCCTTATCTACGATAGGATTAGTATTATCATTCTAAGTCGCATATCGAATTTTTATTCGTTCTAATAAAAATATCATTAAATATCAGATCGATTTCTTGAAAAATTAACTTTACTGATAATGAGTGGGATATCAATCAAAATGCCATTTTATTCTGAATATGTAAAGAAAGAACTAGAACAGATTTTTTGCAGAGGGATAGTTTATTCGTAAACAGGATCTCTGTTTTTTCTCCTACACTTGGAAACATAAAAGTGATAATCAAAATAATTGACTGAAATTCATGCTAGTTTTAGTAATAAGTTACTGGAATAAATAAATAAAATTAACGAGTTCACTAGACTAAGTTAATAAGTATAGACAGTAAGATTTATGGTATATTTTTGTGATGTATTTTCAAACACCATATATGTAAAAGAAAAATGTATTTTTATAAGAAGAGAAAAATAAACATCAATTAAAAAAAAAAAAAAACGTAAAGAAAGAAGACAACATTCCTGTTTGTCAACAATAGCATTAAAAATAATTTATAGAAAGTTCTACATATACAACTTTGTGCAATGTGGTATTATACGTATCTTCGTCAAGAAAAATACTTATTTATTCTATCATATCTTGTCAAAGTATAAGATGAAAACCGCAGACGACAATAATTGTCATCGTTAGACGTAAAATACAATATTTCATCCGTTAGGAAGATCTGTTAATTTACATAATTATATATAACGAAATAAAAATGAAAATATAATTTTCAATAATGTATATGTGCCCATAATTATGAAAGTGGTCTAACAAGGGGAGTGCAAGGTCTTGCTATTACGGATTTTGTTCAAATTTTGTAGGATGATAGATTTGGCTTCCCTGTTTACGAATATATATATGGTTATAGGGGCCACTATTCAATAATTTTTTAGATATTTGCAATTAAAGAGGATAAATAAAGATGTCGTTTAATCCTTAAATTCATTTCTCAATTCTTAATTCTCAAATTCAAAAATAATATTAATAATATTAATAATAATATTAAATAATATTAATATATTAAAAATAATATTAATAATAATATTATATGAATATTTTTGAATATTGTATAAATATTTATTTTTCAATATTGTATAAATATATATTTTTGAATTTGAGAATTAAGAATTGAGAAATGAATTTAAGGATTAAACGGCATCTTTATTTATCCTCTTTGATTGCAAATATCTAAAAAATTATTGAATAGTGGCCCCTATAACCATATATATTCGTAAACAGGGAAGCAAAATCTATTATTCTACAAAATTTGAACAAAATCCGTGAGGGCAAGACCTTGCACTCCCCTTGTAAGTCATGTATCTCTTGTTTCGAAATATTTAAAGATTTCTATTTGAACATTATATGAATTCTATGTAATATTGAAAAAAACAAACATTATCTAACGATTCATTTTTGACAATATCGTTTCAAATTACATTGAATTTATTTCATTTCAAATAATGTGGTGCGTAATAACTTATAAACTCATTTTTTTTTTAATTTTGACTTAGATCACTTTCATAATTATCGGCACATATATCTTTTTTTTATTTTTTATTTATTTATTTTTTTTTTTAACGGAGAACTAAACGTAACTTCGTATATTTATTTGTGTTATTTTGAAATTTGATAAATCTGGAAAAATGCAAATGTCACGATGCATATTTCGAAGTGTATACGTCAACCATGATAAGAGATTTAATTTTCATGATAAGTATTTCAGTTATTCAATTTTTTAATAATTATTTTTGTTCCTTTTGTCGAGTTGACAAGTTTTCCATTCATTAATTACGTAAAAATATTCCATGAACAGTTCTTATCTATTCTAACGAATTGTTTCTAATGTTAATGCGTGTAAAATTTAAAAAAAATATATCAACTTTTTCCTAAATATACTAATTTATACATGTGAAATATGTATATGGAAAAATTAGATTTTTAAAAGACAAATTAAATGATATCAATATAGACAATAATGATAATTATTTTATTGATAAAATTTATTGTGACATTTAATAGATTATTTTTTGCTAAAAGACTAAGTAAATATCATTCTGAGCTTATCATCTTTTACAGTGTTTATACAGCACTCGTTACATAATTTATCAATGTTATGTAATCTATAAATCTTAACGTAGTAATAAGTAAAGTATTAATTTCTCCTTAATGATGGACACAGTTCTTAATTTATAAATGAAAAAAAAAAAATATTTTACAAATAACATTAAAAATTTGTTGTTAACAAAAACAAAAGTGTCTCAAGGATATAAACATTTCTATACAGTTATAATTTGATTCGTTTTAATTGAAGCAATTAGATTGTATAAATTTAAAACGTTGATTTCTTATATATAACTTAAGATAAAATTCCAATGCAGATAACCTCTAAAGTGTATATAGATTATAGTTAGATAAATATCACACTAGGAAAGAAAACACATATTTCAAAGTATTAGTTAACCGTTCAATTTAAACACTTCAAACATATATGTATATATATTTACATATATATATGTACGTGTAAATGCAGTTTAATTAATATCAAAAATAATCATCTCATAAGTTAAAGTCAAATAATTGTAATAATTCGCGTAGTTGTGACTTACCTTTCTGTCATCGACTTCTAACATTTTTTAAATGAATTTTATGCAGCTTCTCTGAAATATTTGATTCTTCCCTTCAATCCTTGAACAAGGTCAGCGAACAACCTCTGTGCTGTATCTGAATCAATGTCACCAAATATTTGAAACTGTGCATGTACGATACGTAGATGACATCTTTATTTGTAGCTACGTCCAAAAGTATATAGATATATATATACATATATGTATATAGATATCTATGCAAGATTAAAAATACATTGATTAGTTATAAAAATAAATTTTACCTCTTTACAAAGCGTGATATTTTATTGAACAAAAATTATTTTTCAAACAAGGATAATATCCATTTTAATTACTAGATTCATAATCAAATTACTAGATTTGATATTCATCCTTGATTGTTATTAATACCTTATCTTTTTCTTTGTTTTTATTATTGTCCTTGACCTCTTGTTGAATTGAAAACAAAAAACGTATTAATTCTAATCCAACATCATTATTAACAATGCAAGAACAATTGTATTGTTAACAATGTTTGTATTGTTTATTTATTAAATATTTATCATTCTTTCTGTATAAAGATATTAAATTTCTAGACAAAAAAGAAGATATATTAAATATCTCAATTGAAACTAATTTTGATTATAACAAAGAATTATTTCTTTTCTAATATCAATAAAAAAAGTTATTAAATATCTTATTAAATAATCATGTAGTAAAACAACAAAAATATATTGTGGTAATATAAGAGAGAGAGAGAGAGAAAAAATAGGTATTAGAATAATTATTAATATATTATTAAAAATTAATGAAAAAAGATACTAATCAATCCCTGTGCTGATTGGTCTTTTCTTACGCATAAAAGTTATTCTAAGAAAATGATTGGCTGTAAAACATACGTGTGATATCGTATATTGAACAAGCGGTACCATTGTGTACACTATCTAGTAATATCAAGCTACAAAATAATACTATTGCAATGTTATGATTATTGTGTCAAAATATTCAAGGTAATAGTGATGTATTTTTAAGTGTTATCTCAAATTTATTTCATATTACAGAAGACAAATTAGACAAATTATATTAGTATAATAATTGCAGGTAATTAAGTAAAAGAACGTTTGTGTTGTCAAGTAAAGTAAAGTAGTACGTTCGAACAAGTTTTATTAAAAATATGGCGGATCAATGCGTGGATACCGACGAGGGAGATTGTTCTCCAGCAAAAAAACTTAAACTAGATGTAGAAGACACTACTGAAAAAAACGATGACATGCATGAAGCTGAAATCAATTTATCCACCTTTGAAATGAAAAGAATATTACAAAATAATATTACGAGAAAACAAATCTATATTGAAGGTACTTTCAAAGGTAGCGAAAGTCCCGCTATTCTTTCATTAGAAAAGACTACTTTTCCTACAGACGAAATTTTTTTAAAGGAAGGATTTTTTAATGAAGATACTACTATGCAAAAAGTTTTTAGTAATCATATTTATGGAAATTATAAATGTTTTCCAGTAAAAAAATATAATGGTAAGTTAATATACATATATATTTGATTTCTCTAAATACGCAAATCAATGATTTGTATAAATGATAAACAAAACACACAACACACAAGTAAAGAAAAATAAGATATATAGTTATATATACATATATATATATATATATATAATTGTATATTATAATTAAAGGTTTAAAAGTATTGTTAATACATCCTGCTACATCAAAACACATTGAAAAGTTTAAAAAAAAAGACTTACATATCGTGGATGAGACATATGAATTATACGAAAAAATTACTTTACCTCATATTACATCACAACAATTTTCTTTAGAGGTATGTTTATATTTGATTTGATTAACAAAACAATTACGCCTATTCATATAATCCAATAAAAATATGGTTTTAATAATTAAACTGAATAAAATATAATGAATAAAGGCATTATATTTAAACTCATACTTCTTATCTTTATCAATTTCACAGTGGATAGATAATATTCTAGCTCATAAAGCTGAACAAGATAAAATTGTATACGAGGATACAAATAAAGAAACAGGTTTTATAATAGTACACGATTTAAAATGGGATGGGCAACCTCAGTCACTAAAACTTTTAGCCCTTCCATTTCAAAAAGTTAGATCTATGAGAGAATTAAATGCATCGCATCTTCCTCTATTGAGAAATATACGTGATTCTGGAACAGCATGCATATCTGAAAAGTACAATATACCTTCGACTCAACTTAGGATATATCTTCATTATCAACCATCATATTATTATCTACATGTTCATTTTTCCTATCTCATGTTTGAAAATTCAGGTAATATACCAACATCTATATTTGTAAAATGAATAAATCTTCTGCTTATTACTTTACATGATATAATAATTTAAAAATTTTTTTCAAAATAGGAGTACACATTTATAGGGCACATCTTTTATCCACTGTTATAAATAATCTAGAATTAATGCCAGACTACTACACAAAATGTATTCTCTCATTTTTGGTATTTGAAGGAGATGAATTATGTACTAAATTCCGGGAACATGGAATTGTGGGAAAAAAGAAATCTGAGTCTGAAGAAACATAAGTGAGATTTATAAAACAAAATTATTTTATAAAAATTATTATATATATATATATATAAAACAACAAATAAAAATATATGAATTATTAGAAAACATCAAATTCTTTCCATATACTTCATAATGTAATATTAAGTAAATAAATGATATTTTGTGGAAAGCATTGCATTTATATATTTGACAAACTACGTATTTTCATGAATAAATTATAGTTTATTTACTTTTAAATATAAAAAATAAATATATATATATAATATTATGTAATAACAAATAAAATATAATAATGAAAATAAGAAAATTTCATTAATTGATTTTGGATAATTAAGATTTGATATATTAAAGAAAGTTTTATATTTGTTAATTTTATATTTCTCAGAGAAGTTTTTTTTTATGACATAATAAAATTAGTGGCTCTTCGTATTCGATATAAATGCTTGTCATTTTGTATGACTATATGATTTAACAGTTTTCATAGTAACATGTAAACTTTTCATACCTTTACTTTGCATAGTTACATGTACATACGTATATTGGATTTATTAGTACCCGAAAAAAATGATAATACTTTAAGATAAACATACTTTAGATTAATCCAGCACTTGATGAAGCTGCCTGAATCATGTATCATACCATTTTATAATTTTTATTATAATAAATATTCCTACTAAACAGACAATGGTACATGGTACACAATGAAGATTTCTCACTATTTAATATCAACCATTTTATAAATATTTTCAAGGGTTCAGGAACGTTATGAAATTGCAGTATGCATTGGTACTCTAAAATGCAGCATGAATTAGATAATATCTTCGAGTGTAGTTAAATATTACATTTAGAAATAATATAAAGTACATTTGAAGATTCAATAATTAACTAGAATTGTTTTGACTAACATAATTATAATAATATATTTAAGTTCATTGTAATTTTGATAAAAAAGAAAAGTGTTAAACAAAATGAATAAATATTTAATGAATATTTTTCAATCTATAATTGTACATTTATGTAACTTGATTGCATGCTTTTCATATGCCTCGATTGATATTCCGAATTTAAAAAGAATATAAAATTTCATTTATAGGAAGTAAATTTAAAATGATGATAGATGGAGTAAGATTGTTCAACAGATAATGATAAAAAAGGAAATATAAACTCTTAGTAATAACAGATATTTTTGTATATTAAAAAATGGGAAAGATACATATTTGATTTTCACCATCAAAACAAAGTCAACTATAACATATTTGTATGATTTTCAACCCAAAATTATGAATACGATCTTTTTTAATAAATGTTAATAAATACATTGACGTCGAATTCTTTGTAAAGGGCATCTGCGTGTATGCTAATTACATCGTGAGATCAGTAACTGTTTTGTACCAAATACATAGTGCTTATGTTCATGCTAACTTAATGCTAAATAAATGTATGATTTAAGTACATACTGAAACATTGGAAGCATTTCAAATATTTTACTTTATTGAATTACTTTTTATAATAATCTCGAACTGCAATGAAATTTCTTGAAAGTCTTATTGAACAGAAGCACTTTATTGTCCCTTATTAACGAAATATTATTATATCATATGGCTTTACAATTTTGCAAAATATATATAATACTCAGGAAGAGATGTAAATTACAGATATCTAAATTTGTGCTCATCTTGTTCTTTCATCTCCAAAGAAGAAGAGAATATTAAACTGCAAAAAAATAATATGTTAAGTACTTATGCTTCTAATTATTTCATAGTATATGAAATTCATATACATCAGTCAAATACAAAAATTAGCCCTATTATTTTAATTAATTAATTATTATGTTTGTTTTTTTTTCTTTTCTTTGTAATAATAAGTAGAAATATTATCATATTACTTATGCTAACATGCGTATATGCACAAAAAAATTGTGTAAAATACACTTTAAAATTTGTCTTTCTTTTGCATGTACATATAAGCATATACATATATCACAACAATTCAATATAAAGGAGGATATTGCTCATATAAATAGTACAAATAATGATTCTGTGCCAACCTTCAGTCAAAAAGAAATGAAGGATAAATATAATAACCAAAGATATTGCAGTATACCCTTTCATCAGGTACATTGCATATAGTTGAGATTGTAATCCATCTAAAAAATAAATATCCATTCCATTATATAATTATAATATTAGATATGTATATATCAATTTCTAACTTATTTGCACGCATAGTAGGAGAGAGAGAGAGAGAGAGAGAGAGAGAGAAAAGAAATAAAAAGATTTCATTTGCCATAATAAGTTAAACTTACAACCTTGCATAAAAATTTGATCAAGAGACACGCAAATGCCCTATATCTTTAATGATTTGCTCTAAATATACCAGAACTTCCTTTATCAATTAATTATATACATTTTTTTTTTCATCACATTATCCAATTACGTATTTACACATAAATGTGAAGACGGAAGTCTGTAATAGTTTGTAAGAGCAAGATAGGTGTAATTTCTTTAACACTCGACACATATTCTACTAGGAAACAAAAACAATAGAACGCATAATAAAAAAAAAATAAAAGTGTAATTTTTTTTTTTCAATCACATTATGTTCAGGTCTATATACTTTCATAATTAGCTTTTGCAATAATATCAGAATGTAAAAATATTATTACAAATCATTAAACTTTAGAAAGCGTTCAAAATAATCTTTAGAAAACTTAAGATGAAAAAATTCCAAAAAAAATTGGAACTTAATTAAAGATTGTGCATTAAAAAAAATATGAAATTTGTTTTATAATCCACTAAATGGATTGTCCAGGAAATAAAGACCACTGGTAACTTATTATTCAAATATATAATGAATAAAGTACAACAGAAAAGAACTAATGGCTTATGTTATTTGTTGTTTTTTTTTGCATGAGACAAACTTTAACAAATATTAGGTATTTGTAATATTTGTGCTTGTAAAATATCTTTTGTCTGACTAGTTGGTCATGATCCACTACACAAGTGTTAACGAGTTCTTCGCCATGACAGTGGTTTGTATATACAGTTATGGAAAAATGGTCTCATGATGTTTAATGATTTGACTTGTTTAAATAATGATATAGGTACTGGCTTTCTCGCGGGTAGGAAATATTGAATGAAATGAAATTTACAACTACTGATATTATCACATACGTAATGCCGTCACATTGATCATTTTCTTAGAAGAATATATAGACTATTAAATTATATCATGCACTAATATAGAAACCAAAATTTATAAAATCTAATAATATGAATTTAATTAATGTAACTTTTTCGAGCACCATTTAAACAAAAAAATAGGAATAAATGAGCATGTTCCTTTAACATTTTTTTTTTTATGAATTACTCACTATATGACGTAATAATTGCGCAAGGAATAACATATATCACATTAACATTATGTACCATCTACCTTTACATCTAATTTAATAACTTGAGATATTTGTGAGCAGATATGAAAGATTTTACTTGTTTACCTCAAAACTACATTGAAGAATATCAAAGGATTTTATTATTTATCTTGTATTCTGATAGTCGTTAAGACAGTCTCAATAATTGGATCATTATTGCTAAATAATTAAACCAACTTAAAAAAAAAAAGTCAGATTAACTTAAATAGTGTTTTCTTTTTTTTTGTTTTTCTGTATAAAATAAGCTCATATATAAATTGGAAATCCAAATGGCATTACATAAACGATGTCTTAATAACTCATAACATTTCTAAGGATTAACAAAGAATCACTCATTTTGTTTTCTTTAAGATACTAACAATAAATCATTATTTAATCTTAATTTTAAAAAGTCCATAAGTGTCTATTTTTATTACATTATAATTTGTATATCTTTAGTTAAATACACCTACTTTGTACCGTTTGAAAGCCAATACGTAAAAAATTTAACTAAAAATAAAGAGATATTGAAAAAATCACATAAAACTTATAAAAATGAGTATCGAATCAGACAAGGTTACCTAAAATGAATTTAATGCCTCTTGTCGTTTATTTTGATGATACACAATAAACCCTTCTTCTTGCATGTTAATGGGGGTACTCTTCGAATGATGATCACATAACTTAAAATGGCTTCATTCGCCGATGACATTAAATACAGTTTGTATAGTGGACTAGCTTCGGAATACGACTTGCATATGAATTTATGTCACCAACAAGTCGTCATAGGCATATGTTGTAGAAAGATCGCTTGCAGACACCAAACTTGTAACTGTTACATTTTAATAAAGATTTCAAAATTTAAATTATTCTAAGAGATATTTCTTTACAATATATTCAATGTACATTTACAGCATACATTCTAAACCTATATCTAAAACTGTAAAAATGTATTAATTCAATTTCTTATGAAATAGTTAATATATTAACTTTTATAATTTTAGAATAAAATTTCGTTTCAACATCAATAACAAATAATATTTATTTGAAATTTATTCTCAATTTATATTAGAAGAAAAACAAAAATAAATAATTTAAAAGAAAGAAAGACTTTTTAATCCAACTAATTTTATAGATTTTCATAATAATTTAAAATCCTAGAAATATTTCTTCTAATTGCATCTTTCCGTATATATCATAATTTAATATATTATATATAAACATTTTAATAATTATAATAATTAATAAACAATTCAAGCCATGATATTTGCAAGATCAATCTACAGCATAAAAGTTACACGTTAAGATATCACTGGACTTTCAACATTCATATATCCAGTATTCGTTATGCCCTTATGATCATTAATAATGTAAATAACGCCACATTTTTCTTGATGATAATATGACAAAACATGTTTCTGAAGTTTCTCGTGGAAGGAGCGAAAAAAAAAATATCTATTTTGGAAATTTAATTAATTATTTTATAACTGAAGTGTTGCAAAAAAATATTTGCTTTAACAAACAAAAAATGTATAGAATATGGAGTATTCATAATTTTGTAAACAAGTTTTGTATTACTGTGAATACTGTGATACGTAATATTAATTATGAGGTACTCAACAAAAAAAAAAAAGACTTTTTCCATGACGAAACAAAACAGAAACATGCTTTTATCCTACTATTGGTAGGATTGGATGTAACAAGAAAATTGTGTCTTTAAGCTTCAGTAGATGCTATCAAGGAGCTCTTAGGCGTGTATGCTGTTGCATTTGGATCCAAATTTGACACGGTACAACCTGGACAACTGCTTTCGTTCGTACGTATTTTTGTTCCTGTTACTCGTACTTCACTATTCAATCGAAGCTTGGACGTTGCACAAGTTGGTGCAGAACCAAATGTATCCTGTGGCATCACAGCTAAGTCTTGAGCAATCTTTGCTTTGAGCATCTCAATTTCTTTTTCTTGAGATCTTATTAAACCTATTTAAAGAAAAATAAGAAACTTTCTTATTTAAGAATCAATATTATAGAAAATTATTTTTAACAAAAAAAGCAAGGAATAGAGAAAACCTTTTCCTTAATAATTAATAAAAGTATGTAAATAAGATTAAATTGGTAGTTTTGCTTACTTTCTCTGATTTCTAACTGACGTTTTGCTTCTCCAAGTGCTGAAAACAAATCTAATTTTATTCGAGTTTCTGCGCTCAAACTGTTTTCTAAATGTCTTGTTTTCTCTTGTAATTCGTTCAATGCTCCAAGCAAAATCTCCGACTCTCTTTGATTTTCTTTACAACGAGTTGCATCCTTTTCTAATGCATTACATCTAGGATAGATTTGAAATAATAATAATAATTAGTACTTTAATGTAATAATAAACTTATAATTATGATTCTATCATTTTGTAGATAATTAACACTTAAATGACCATATATTATTTCTCATAGGCTTACTCTAAATTAAAAAATAAAACACGAGAAAACTCGTGACCGATAGTTTAAGTGTTAAGTACATATAATTATTTAACAATCGCATGTAAATTGATAAGATCTTTTCTAATGTATTTCATACTTATTAATACCTTTCATCTTTTGTTTTGACTTCTCGTCGAAGATTTTTAAGGTCTTGCTCCATTTGCACTCTTTTATTCTTACATGCATCTGTACATTCTTGTCTGACAAGTGGTGGTGGAGGTGGTGGAATAGCAGAACGTGCCTCTTCCGCAGCTCTTCGTGCCCGTCTTTCTGAAACTAAGGATGCCTCACAAGCAGTTCGTTGCTTTCGTTCTTCTGCAATACGTTTTTCTAGCGATGACATTGTTTGTTTATCCAATTGTCGAGCTGTTACCAATCCATGTAATCTAAACATTATATATTAGATAATTATATATTTTCTTGCTGAATAAATATCATCTCACAGAAGATTAAATATGAAATTAAAAGAAGCAGTAAAAATCATATATATTAAGAATACTTACTTGCTTTGTAATTGATCATTATCATGTTGAAGCTGTTGTATATCTCCTTTTGCCTGACGTTCTCCATTCATCAGTGTATTAATTTGTGATCGTAGTTCTTGCTCCACTTGTCGACTGGATTGTAAATCTGACTTCAAGCGTTTAATATCTGCCTCAAGCCTGCGACACACCAGTAACCTATTTGAACGACATTGAATTATGCCTAAGCAACAAGCAGTGCAAAGAAACATGTATACTATGCGTTTCATTTATTATAGAAATAGCTTAACTTCTTCATAATTATGACCTAAATATTGCTAGACATAAAAAGAGTACTCAATTAAAGTTAATACTTAAAATATACACATCATTATATTGTTATAATTATCTTGCAATAATGAAAAACCAAATGAAACATATTTGTCATAAAATTATAATAAGATTGAAATGATACCTTTGACAATATTCATCCTGTTGTTTCTGCTGCTCAGTTGTAGTGTCACTAGCATTTTTGATTTTACGTGTATTACGTTCACGTTGAACATTAACATTTGAAGATGTCTCTCGATTTTCTTTTACATTATTCCATTTTCCTGTTACTGATCCATTAGATTGTGATCTTACATTTGTATGACCACAACCTCCACCTTTAACTGACTTGTCTTTGTCAATTTCATTTACATCAAAATCATTCACTGATCTGCATTATAAAACATTCCTTTTTCTGGTTTGTTTCTAAGCACATACTTTAATTTGGTTATAGTACAAATGAATGCATTTATAACAAATTTCTTACCCGACTCTTTCAATAAACTGCACGTCGTTGTGAGATACTGTTGATCCATTTGTATGTATAAATCTTTTGTCACTTTTATCAGATTGTGATACATTTGTTATATTATGTTTATTGTGTTGATCTTCCTGTTTCTCACTTTTGTCTAAAGATTTTCTATGATTACTTTTCATAGTGGTACTTTGTGTCTGCAGCATAAATTGTGTACCATTTTGCAATCCACCATTTTGTACATTTGATTCAACACAATTATTTCCTAAAAATATGTAAAATACATCATTAAATTCATGAAATTAAACACATATACACCATTGGCATAAATGTATATATAACATCATTCTAAACTATTTAGTAAATTATAAAAATATATAAAATAATACGACAACTAAAATGGAATATATAAATTAATAAAAAGTAAGGTTATGTCGTACGTAAATTGAAATAATTTGGATTGTAATACAACACCATCTATTGAATACTTAAACAACCTAGAAACATAGTTAATCTTTACTTAATAAATCTTTAAATTTGCAATAAAAAATACAAAATAAACGCGATAAAAACTATCTTATATTCTAAGTTGAAAAAAATCGCACAAAATACAAAAAATTTTGTTAAGATAGGTTCAGTAGTTTCAAAGTTATTTGTGGACAAACATTATGACACTGAATTTGTATATAAAAAGATATGTTAAACTTAGAAATAAAATACATACTACCTTTGCTCTTTTCAGGACTTGGATTATATTGTGAATTTAATCTTTGCGATTGTGCCCTTATATGTTGTTCTAATGATGGATTAATATGCTGTACTTGTGACTGAATTTGCTGCAAACTTGTCTGTTGTTCTACCGGTAGAGCCTGCTGTAACAACTGCAGGTAGAACTCATTTTCCTTTGCAACATCTTTTTGTTTTCTCTAATAAAATGCAATATCATAATGAAGATATTTTATCTCATTGGTTTAAACAGAACGATTGTATATATTACTAACCTGTCTCATTCTATAACCAACATAACTCTTAAAACCAAAACCTAATGTAACTACAGGATAGCCAATGCTGGAAAAAGATATAAATTCATGATATAAAACAATGCATTTCAATGATTATTATATTCATAAAAAATAAACCAGCTTACCAATGTGCTGCGAATGGCCGACAGAGATCTAAGTGAAACGGCATATGCCGAAAATCTCTTAATCGAACTGCTGTTTCTATATACAGAAATAATAGCCACAGCATCACAGTTGGTAGGCACACTCCTTTATCTATTGGATACATTTGTTTATATTAGTTTTTCATAACATTAATAATATCGTCTTTTGAAAATAGAATAAGGTACAAAGAAAATGATAAACTTTTATAATTATATAATTGTTATAATATATGTATGTATTATACACACCTGTGTGCCAAACATATTGCACCCAAACGTAAGTGCTGGCAGCAAAAAACAGCCAATGCACAGGGATGAAAAAGAAGCAAATCATATCAGATGTAAGTGCAATACAAATAAAAAACACAGAGAAGGCCTGAAAGTAAAAAATAAAATATAATATATATTCTATGTTTTTTCTATTCATTTAATGAATGACTTTTATCATATATATATATGCTACGCATATTATTATAATTACTTACACTAGAACAAGCGATCAGATATAAAATATCTTCAACTTTAATGATGATAATTATAATAATAATAATAATAATTGATAATTATATATTATTATATGGTTACTTACCAAGCCTTGGTATTTAAAAGAATCGTAAACACTTCGGAGGAGAAGCCAGAAAGGCCATAAAAATTCAAAGCGGAATTCTAAAATGAAATCTGCTAAAATCACCATGGCCCATAGTAGAAGGAACTTCAGATAAAGCAAAGTACTGAAATAAAAATCATATGTTATGAACATGGAGCTACGATAGTACACTAATATTATATAGTGATATATGTCAGTAAGTGTATACATGCGCATAATTGTCAGGTAATCAAAAATATCTGATAAAATATTGACAAAGTATTATATATTTACACAAACCACACATTTTGCTAGAATCATAAGATTCCTTTATTTGTAAATTTCTTTTTTTCACAAATATAATTTTTTAAATGAATAATTATATACATATTTTATATATGCTTCATTTTTCTCTCTTGCAATATTGAACAAAATATTATAAAAAATACATATCTTACACTTTAATACGTTCATGTTGAAATATACTATAAAACAGTAATATTAATACATTTTTCCATTGAAACAAATCAAAATGATATTGAAACAATGACTCTAGAAAAATGTAAAAACATGATTATACTTTAACTTTGAAACTAGACAATTTTTGTTTGTAAATATTGTTACATTTTTGATAGTTAAACAACAAAATGGCATCTATGCGCATGTATTTAACCAAACATACTGATATATCATAGATAATATAAATAAGGCTTATAGTTGCTATATATTCTAAAAGCGTATTTTTATAAAATGCATCTTTTAAGTAAAAATCTGTTGGTCATTTATCTTTCTACACAAATTTCAACTTAAGTAGTATCCTATAGTCACCTGAAATTATCATTTTATTATATTTCTATTTTTGATTTTCAATCATTTCTAATCTATATAACAGTTTATGTGCTTAATAATTGCATAATATTGTATGAACAGTTTATAATATAAATAGACATAATAAAACTTAACAAATAAGATTTGTTAATACGTAAAGCAAAAGAAAATGATACGTTTAGATACAAAAATAAATTTTAATGAATTTCTTTATAAAGTATAGTGTATGTGTGTTATAATAATTATATTATGTCATTATGTCATAGGGTGTTTAACTAATAATAAAGTGAGAAAAATAATAGGATATTGTAACATAAACAAATACAATAGGTCCATGTCATATAAAAGTTGCTCTTATGTCATATTGTAATAAACGAATTACATAATATGATAAAACTACAGCAATATATGAAATGACAAATAACAATTTAAGCCTTTTACAGAAACGTCTTCTATTAAAAACATTGATCACACGTTTGTGTTGTTAAAGTTGAATATGTAACGTATATGTGATTGAACAAATGACGTTTTACAATATTACTTAAGAAATATCACTACACTTTAAGATCGTTCTATACTGGAAAAACAGGAACACATGGTTGAAGTTTAGTTAAATGTTAAGAGCCATGTAACACAGAAGGTTCCCAAAGCGAGCGCAAATCCAAAATCAGCGTCCAGCAGGGTTGATGGATAAACGCATTTCACCGATAAAATATTTATCAGTAGTTTTAGAATTTGATAAGTTTGGATACGTTCTCTCACAGATATGATGATCAGATTTTTGGTTATTTTTAAGAACGGCCATTCCAATGTAGACGCATATGGCGGCGAAAATTTACCTTCCGTAAATCCCCTCGGTGAGCTTGTTACGTTTCAAGGGCCTCCGAAGCTTACCGAACTCGACATTTCTTCTCTTCATATTCTTCGACACTTTCACCACTACCAAGGCGACGTTATTCGCGGCGTGTAACAGAACGGAAAAAACCAGAAATCCTCCGGGAAGTCGTGAAAAAAAGCCACTCTGTCTTTCTCTCTCTCTTTCTCTCGCGCGCGACTTCTATCAGTCTCTTTTGTTGTCATTCGTCTGTGGAGAGATTCGAGGTCTCACGATGGTTTACCAAGCAGCTGATTGGTCATTATGATACATCGCGTTTTAAAATCCATCTACGATACTAATCGTTTCTAACGAAAACGTTTTAAAGGTGAAACACGATCGATCGGACGAGATATCGGCACGTGTCAATATTGTCTAAATGAGCGCGGAGTCAGTGCACGAGATCAGACCAATTTTATATTATGATTTCTTTCCCTAATGGTTTCGCGTTCAAGCCTTTATCGATCGTAGATGTCTCCCGACTGTACCACACGACGACTCCATCGGCACTTTCCACTTACACCAGCGGCGCTCTCTCTTGGCAACTAAATGTCTGTGCAGTTGTTCCCTTTTCTCTTCCTTCTTCCTATCGTTCCTGCTGCAAGTAAATACCTCTCGTTGTCTCCCTTCTATCTCACCTCTGACTAATCAAACCCCTTCACCCCCTCGCCCCAACTCTCACTCTCACTCTCTCTCTCTCTCTCTCTCACTCAATGCTCGTTTGACAGCTGCGTATCAGCTGTTTTCTTCCATGTGTGGTGGTGCTGATCACAAGTAACAATACAATAGAGTTGCTATTATCTTATGAACGACTCTAAATGACGCTAATTTAAAAAACGATCGATCAAATGACAATACTTGAAAACGATAAAAAATATATATTATTAATTGATTTTCATTAAAAGTATTTTTATTGGTAGCACTGTAAGTATAGATTTTCTAGATGTTTGTTTTATTAATATCTACTTGTTTTGTAGTTCCATTACTTCTTTCTAAGTATTTTAATTAGATACGATAATTGATAACTCTTAAGATATATTTTCATTTCAGTGTAATTATTGCATCAAAGTGGAAACATTTATAAATATTTTAATATTATAACTTGTCATTTCTACACATTTAAAAAATGAACAAGAATATATATGTGTTGTCTAACGTAAGTTTAAAAATAGTCTTCTATTTTATTTTAGAAATTTTACTTATTGGGGTAGCTATTGGAGCACAATATGACGTTAATGTCACTTACACGATATGCAATATATTTTGCATTGTGTCAATGCTTATTATAATACATATATTATGTGATTTAATGATACAATTCTGTAATGTATTCCAACCAAATTTGAAATACTATGGGATACAACAATTGGAAGTGTCATTAAAATATAAAATTACCATTGGAGTATGTATTATAATTCTTTGTTCACAAACAATGAATCAAAGGTCTTCGTATATTTGGACATACAATAATGTAGCAAGTATATGCTCTTATTGTTTTGTAATTATTTTGTTTAAAACACTAATCTTATCTGAACAAAATGTAGATATAGATATAAGTAGTATGAAAGGACTTGATTATGGTACTGGAATGGCCTATAGTTACTACTATGGCTATTTGAGAATTGTTTTACCATCTACTGGTACAGCAAGTAAAGGTTTAATTGAAAAATTAGAGAATATAGAAGACAGTCATAACATATCTATTTCAATCAAAAAATTATTTATTCTGATTCCATCTTCAACATATATATCTTCAGATTTTAAAGATTGTACAAATGGATGGATGGAAAGTGCATTAGAATTAGAAAAGGAAGTAAGAGATAGAGCTGGTGTAAAAAATCGATCTTATCATAATAACGTGTATAAGATTTATCCTGAAGGAAAGAAACCTTGTGTCAAACCAGAATATATAACAGTTGAAGGTGCCACACCTTTGTTAACTATGTTTGAAGTACAAAAACACTTCCATCCGGAATCTGCAATTTATGCGAAATATCGCAAACAAATAATAAAATCATTTTATTTAAAATTAAAAGATATAATATATAATGATCCAGAATGCAGAGAGTTATGTGAATTGATCTACTATGAAGATTACAATTCTGATGGGACTAAAGTAAATGTAGCAAAAATTATTCTAGAAAAGATATCAGAGCTGAGAAGTTTACAATGAACAAACATATTGAGCTACGAATTAATACGAGAGCTAATTTTATACAATATAATGTAATATTAACTACTCTCTTCCAAGTGAAAATGAAAAATATAAATATACCTGTTTCCAAATTGTAACAGATTTTATATTTTTTATATGATACTGTAATTTTATAATATAATTATATAATAATTTATATAGATTTAAAAAAGATAGTGGTGTTTTTTATTCAAAACCTAGAAAATCAATAATAGTAATTACAGTAGAGCGTCGATTATCCGATTATATTTGAAATGTCAATTACCTGAAAATGAAAAAATGAAAAAACCAAAAAAGGTGAGCATAATTTAATAAAAACTTTGAAAGTTAATAACTGAGAAAATTCCTTTTATTTCCTATTATTTTATATCAGGTTCTTCTGTGCACTAAGAAAAAATGTGAAAACTCGTAAAATTTGTGAAAAATATTATTTATTCATTGAAATTCTTAAGATTCGAGATATAAAATAATATCGATAGAATTTTGAAATAAGTCATTATCGTAGATACTATTATTAATCGCTTGTAATTTTGCACTTTATAAATGTATTATAAAATATTTTACTTATTGCAAATATTCAATACTTTTGATATTCATTAATTTATCAATATAGATTGTTTTACTCATCAAGATTTACGATCTACAACAAGATATTTTATTATAAAATTATTTTATGATAAACGTATCCTAAGAATCAATCGTACAATTTAAATGTCAGTTGGCATATTATCATGAGCACAGCCATGAATGGCTAAAAGATGAACACATTTAGAGCCACAATAATTGGATTGCAAGTTCTCCCATCTTACATATCCATTTCAAATTGTTCTGGAGATTCTTCAATCGTCAATGTGTCTAAAATATTAATATTTATGTTAATGCACGAAAATATTGAAATTTTTCTTGAATGAGAACTGAAAGAGAAAGATAGAGACCTTTTCTAGGAGATATCTTAGCAGGTGTAGAAATAGTTGGCGTAACTTTCAAAAGATCCACAGGTATTGATGGTATATTTGGAGGAGTACGCGATATTGGTGAGTCTCGTAAATTCATCAAAAAAGCCCGTTCATAAACGATACGAGTACCTGTACAATAATATTATTATTATTATTATCAAAGCTATCATTATAATCTTAATTACATTTACTATAAGTTCTAAATTATTTTGTGTGCACATGCATGTGCGTGTGTATATATGTGCAATCTTCGTGTTAGGCTCAAAACTTGTTGACCCTCGCTATGCATATATAAAGGGAAGAAAGTTTAAATGGTGCGTGTAACGTTAACATTTATTTTTATGATACGTGAATTATAACACTTCGATTGCAACACCGCAATGATCACAGACTGTTATTCTCTGCACCAACGAGCATGCAACAAAATAAATACATTGCGCGTGTAAATACATTGAAATAATTTCTCGCGTCCTTGACTTAATGCACAACATACATATATACGTATACTTACACGTGCGCGTTTATTACGGTCAAGATACTGTCCAAAATGATTTATCGATCATAGGAATATACATAAATAATATCAAATAAATAATGATTAATGATGAGAAAAGAAAAACTGATGCAATTTCTTTATCAGAATTCTTGAAAGTTCTTTTTTTGAATTCATCAAAATAAAAGCTATTGTGTTTCTCATTATAATAATAATGTTTCAAAAAATATAATATTACAAAAAAATAAATCCTTGTATATTTTCTATTATAAAACAATATATATATAAAATATTAGCAATTACAAAAATATTTAACAAATTGTAAACACAATTATATATAATACAATATGTCGAATGTGAAGTTACATAATCGGATAACGACACAGAACTATGCTATATTCTGAATTATTTATACAACATTATTATTATACTAAAGTAATAAACGGGTTTAAAGTTTATCGATTTCCTTTTTTAATTCGAAATTGTAGTTTAAATGAAATATTATTATTCTTATTAATTTTATTCCTTTACCTTTAAATCATTTTGGTAAATGTTGCGTAAGAGAATATAAACGAATTTTATATTTTATATCGTATTTTGGCAAGCTGACAAGAAATAATTTAATTATGGCATCCAGGTAAAAAAGGTCGTTGTAATACGAATTTAAACAACAAATAGGATAAACATGATTTTATGCGAACTAAGATGAAGATAAAAAAAATTTACTTTTTATTACCTTTTGATGTTAAACGAATTAACCATCGAAATATTGTCTACAATTGACATGAGAGATTTTAATCTGTTTATCGATTTATTTTTCTCATTGGAATTTCTCATTGAAATTCTTTGCTTTGGCGAATAAATAAATAATTCAAGGATGCATAAAATTCACTGGAATGACCAAAAATTAAATTAAAACTTCTTTAATTACTTCAATAATACTAACAATATCTAATTGTTTCTTAGTATTTTCTAAATACGAACGGTATAAATAAAATTTTATATTTAATAATTATAAGTTATTTTATATGAAAAAATAGACACCTTTGAGATTTTTGATACTTGAAAAAAAGAAAAGAAAAAAAAAGAGGATTCAAGGGCATGCTTTGTGTAAAAATGTGATTAATCGATGATCGACCGATTGATCTGTCGGTAAAATAAACAAGCAAAATGATTCACAAATAGAAAGTAAGATGCACGACTTTACCTCCTGGAGTTGTGGAATAAAGTGTACCTCCTGGAGTGGATGAATAGTTTGCTGGTAATTGTTTAGGATCATCGATAATAATCCTCTTCGATGGTATATTTTGACTTTGGGTAGCCTGCCTAGCGATCGGAGATGCTGACATTGTTCTTTTTTCGTTTAATCGGTGTATTAATATAAAATAAGAACAATAATAATGATAATGATGATAATAATAATAATAATGAAAACAAAAAGGTAAAGATCTTGATGAGTTACTGTTATTAATGATAAAAAATTCGCTGCGCAATATGCAAGAGTAACTTCAATACTACGTGAGTTTATGGATTCTCTTATAGAACGTGGTTATCGATAACTATCTTCGCGTATCTTCGTTTTAATGCGCTAGCGATCGTGGATTACGCGTGTGGTACGTTTCGTTTTGCGTATCATGCGCTTCTCATAACCTAAAGATTAAGAGAGCACGATTGGAAAAACGGCGATGGCCGTTTAGAATGATAATGAACAAAGCAATAGCCATTCACCCAACACCAATGCACTTTTTTCTCTGCCTTAAAGTAAAAAAACTAAGATAGCATATTTCCAATAGCTTTATGCTCTTTTCTGTTCGAAGTAGTAGTCTAAATAAATACAAAAATTTCGCCATCTTCAAATATTACTGTTTGTTACATCAATTATTTTTTTTCAAAGTGAATTATTGAATTAAAGTTAATTAACAATTAATTCGATTAACATTGTTACCAACGATAGAACATTTAATTATGTTTTGTTATATATGTCGTGTCCTAAAAAATGTACAAAAATGAATGTTCGATTAATTATTTAAAATTTTTATAATTTAAATTAATATATAAACAATATAGTTTTTAAATATGCCGCAAAAAAAAACATGGACGTACAAAGAAACGATCATACTCCTACTTTCGTTGCATATATGATAATAAATATTCCATCTTGCTTTTTCCCTAGTTTTTCGAATCTAAGCCTTTTGTCACTATAACATATTCTAGGGAACACTTTAGAAAATTGTGTTTTTTTTTTCTAAATAATTTCAAACGCTCCGGAATCTATATTTTTATACATAGATATAAATTTATATATTATATATTTAACAATAAAAAAAATCGCTAATATACACTTTCCTTATATGAAATCCACCATCCTTATATGAAATCATTTGTATTGCAATATTAATAATATAATATTTTTGTATTAATTTTGTTATCTTCATAAGGATACTTAATATGGATATCACATAGAGTGACGCATATCAGTTTATTGCGACACATCAGTACCAATAACATTTCGAGAAAACGACTCTGGCAAGAATTCCTCAAACATTATTGGTTTAGTGGTTTTTATTGTCCTATCACCAGGCTCATCAAAACGTACAATGCATGCAATTTCATATTGCAGAAAAAAAGGAAACGGTATTGGGGAAACCTCATCTCAAAAGGATCCTTAGGAACTGAAATTGGTCACATTTCTTCAAGCTTGTCACGAAATAATTGGTAATTGATCGGTTCAAGCCGTTGATCTGTGGAAAAGGCTTGCGTTGTGTGTCGTTTATATTGCCGTCGAGATATAGTGGCGGCCGAGTAGCGTGTGTATCGTGCGTGTTATAAAAGTACGCAGGACTTTTTGGAAAGTGTCATGCTTAAATATTATTATTTCCAAATTTTCTCGCATTATGCATCATTTTAATAAGAAAGAAAGAGAGAGTGAAAGAAACTGAGAGATATATAGAAATATGTAGAAAGATAGGGCAAGAAAGAAAGGGAGGGGGAGAAAGAGAGAGAGAGAGAGAGAGAAAGAGAGAGCGAGCGAGCGAGCGAGAGCGAGAGAGAGAGAGAAAGTGCGAGCACACGCGTACGAGAGAGACGGAGGAATTTCGTCCATAAGTCTAGACAAAGACGCAAATAACGCTTTATCGTTCGTCCTTTCGTTCATTCGTCAAGAGATTATTCTTTTTTAGCATAGCTAAATATGAAAAAATAAAAAAGAAGGAAATAAGAAAAGAGAGAGAGAAAAGGAGAAAGAGAGGGGGACAAAAGAAGCTGTGTCAATTCGCGAAATCGTGTTATGTGAATCCACTGAGCTGTCATAAATGTATACATTCTATATAGATTACACGATCTATGGTCGGTTATTGGGCCGATTTACTAGAGACCAAAGTGATCGTATATACGCGCGGCCTGTGAATTGACATTATTAATCATCATCGTGCCGTGTATCGTGCGTCCATTGTCCTCTTTCTAAAAAAATCAGTGTTACACGTTCCTGTTCAACGCATAAGCGATCTTTTTCGAACACTCACAGTAGGTTTAATTCTCGAAAATTCTGTCGTACATCTGCAGGTGGCTGTGTGTCAGCCGTATTACTTGACGCGAACGCGTTCCAGTGCTTAAAAGCATTATATTTTTATATCAATTTATAACTACCAAAAAAGAGAAAAAAAACGGCAAATAATAGAACATTTGTATATGATCGAGTATTTTCGGGAAAATATAGATACTGCACTACTGATTATGCATAAATCGTGAGGAGACTCAGTTCATGAGCTGTCACGATTGCTTTTATACTTAATGTCACAAAGGAAGCACAAAAGGGGGAGTGTGTGTGTGCGTGTGTGTCGCGTGAGCCCGCGAGCGCATGTGTATATATATGAAAATGACAGAGAGAATGTAAAAGAGAGAGAGAGAGAACGAGGAATGAGAAAATTATTACTTGTGATATGAAAATTCTGTTTGACGTATAACAAATCACATCTTTTTATCTTTAGTGATCGTCAGTTTACAAGATACATATTAGCTAATTGGATATTTTGGACATCGATGACGCTTTAACGGGTGGTGACAAGTACTACTCAGGGCTGTAACAATTACTTGCGCATCCTTCTCCTCCTCTTTTATTCTTATGTTTTGTCTCTGTTTCCTTAATACTTTTCTATGTCGTCTCATTCTCCTCCCTCTACCATCTTTCTTCTGTTTCAACCATTTTTCGTTTCCCTACCTCTATCATCTTTTTGAGCTACTACTTGTTCGTTCACTTGCTACTACTGTGGTTCGTTCTCGCGTTTGGCGGTATATTTTCTTTTCTCTTTCTATCTCTTGTTCTCTTTCTCCGCTAACACGCTTTATAGGTGTGACGTGTATACATGTTCCTCTGTAATATTACATCCCTTTTTTTTCCACGATAACTGCATTGCATTGCTTTAACGGTTTTTCGTCATTTTTTTCCATGAGAATATCAATTTATTCGATATTATTATCCAAGGTTACGAGGTGTCAATTACGTAGATAATTACTGCATGAGATTACGCGTTTAGAAAAGACGAATCTTTTCATTTCTTTACCGCGTTCTGTGATACTTTTGAGTGAGTAAGTAAGTTTGTTAAATGAGTAGAACGATATAAAATTGGTTTTTTTTTGTTAAAATCATTAAATACGGCGTTTAATTTAATCAATTTCGTTTATTCTCTCACTGCTTTTTCATTTTCTTCTCTAGCTTTCGGTTTTATCAGTTACAGTTTATCAATTGTAATATTATCAGAGAGAAGGGGAGGTGAATCTGTCAGAAACAGTAGAGACTAATTGAATAATGCAATTAACAATGGGCTCTGTGCTTTAATGGGCTAAAGATCGTTGTGTATTTTTTTTTTTTATTATTATTCTCTTTTCTCCCTTGTTTTTTTTCTTTTTTCTTTTTATAACGTAAGTGATTGTTATTATTATAAGTGCATTCCTATAAAGTCTCTCTCGAATTTTAGGTACGAAGAATTAATTTAGAAGTTGTATCTGCATGCTTGTGTTAATTATATTTTCTTCGGTGTCATAGGTTAGATCCGATTGCGTTTACTTGAACTTGAAAAAGTATAGTGAATATACTTGCATATATGTAAGGATGAATGATATGTAATGTTGACTCTTATGCATTAAGATTTTCTTCTCTTTGGAATGTAAAATTATAAAAACATATCAATTAAAATTCTTATTATCAAATATTATATTAATTCTTTCATTTGTATTAGTTAGAGATATAGTGTGTTAATATAATTGCTATATTTTTTTTTATTTGTTATTTCAATACTTTTCTAAACTTAATGTAAATATACAGAACTTTTGTAAAGACTACAGTACTATATGTACGTTAATGAGCGCCTTATCTATTGCAAGTAAAGATCTAGTATAAATAGACGTTTATCTCTTGAAACAGTGTTTTAAAATGACAGTGAATAGTCATGTATTTTTCGTCAAGTCAAGTTTCATACGAAGTATTATAAATTAATATTATATTTCTCTTCTACTGTACTTTTGAATACAGATAAAACGCATCAATACAATGTTTTTTGCTTTATTTTAAAATGTAGCACAAGATTTTGATCATAGGCAACTTTTAACATTAAGATTTGTTTTTGCAATGTTTTATTTTAAGATCTCATCTAATTTTTAAGTAATAGCATTCTTATGCATATTTTCTTATCTACAAATGTGTATAAATAGTTGATTTTGATTCCTATTTTGTCATATTTTAGATCATGGCTAATCGGGGTACCGCTCAAAGGCCGAATGGTTCAACACAAGGAAAAATATGTCAGTTCAAACTAGTATTACTAGGAGAATCTGCTGTTGGAAAGTCAAGTTTGGTGCTTAGGTTTGTTAAAGGACAGTTCCATGAATATCAGGAAAGCACGATAGGTGGTAAGAAGGATCTTATAAATATTTGCTTGTATATAATCAATTTTCTCGGTTTATACCATTGGTTAGTTTCTATGGTATTAAAAGTTAAACTAGATAGAAATATAATTAACGAGTTGCATAGATGTGTTTGCATGTTATTATAATTATATGGTTAAATGTGGATAAAATGCAATGAAAGTATAGCAGTTTTTTGCTCACGTGTTAGAAAATGGTAGTATTTTCGTAGTATTGATATATTAATTATAATCTTTTATTTGCTTCATTAATAATTTCATTTGTAGCTGCATTTTTAACGCAAACTGTATGTTTGGACGACACGACTGTAAAGTTTGAGATATGGGACACAGCAGGTCAAGAACGTTACCACAGTCTTGCACCAATGTATTATCGAGGTGCTCAGGCAGCAATTGTTGTTTATGATATTACAAATCAGGTATGTAAATGTGCTGTGCATTAAATGTTCTTTTTATATCAATGTGGGCTAATTTTAACTACGAATTATGACCCACTTTATATACATACAATATTTATTAATTATTATTGATGTATTATATATCATAATTTATATAGTGAATACTTATTTTTTTGTAAACTATTTGATATAACTGAAAGCTTCATAATGTAATTCTATAATATTTGAAATATAAAATAGGACACATTTGTGCGTGCACAAACGTGGGTGAAAGAGTTACAACGGCAAGCCAGTCCAAGTATAGTTATAGCACTAGCAGGGAATAAAGCGGATCTCACAAACAAAAGAGTCGTTGAGTATGATGAAGCTCAAGCATATGCTGATGAAAATGGTCTATTATTTATGGAAACATCAGCCAAAACAGCAATGAATGTTAATGATATATTTTTAGCAATTGGTAAGCTTAAAAAGCATACTTTTAATGATAACTGCAGTTCTTGTGAATATATGAAATGGAATTAAAATGTATACAATAGTTTTTAAACACACACACATATATGTAATAATGATTTATGCTTTATATGATTTTGGCTTTATATTTTGCAGCTAAAAAACTTCCGAAAAATGAGCAGTCAGGAAGTGCAAGTACAAGTGGGCAAGGTCGTCGGCTAGTTGAATCAGAAGGGCAAAGAACAGCAACCGGCAATTGCTGCAAGTGATTATCCAAATCTGTACGTGTTACATTTAATATTGGTATCTATGACAATGATAATTGGCTATTTTTAAACTATTTCTACAAAAAAGTAGAGTAATTATGCAACATTCAGTAATTGAAAATTTTTCAAAACTGAAATTACTATTACACGATACATCTATAAATTTTTATAAAGGAGGAACACAGTTTATTAAAAGTTAGCCCGAATTTAATGTTATTTTCATTAGGAATATTTGATAGTTCAGTATAATAACAAATATTTTATTATTTTTCTTATTTCCAAAGCATATATTTCTAAATCTTCATTATTTGTTTGTTCAGCAAAATATCAACCTTAGGTTGTATATTACATTGTACAGAAGATAAGATATCTCTGAATAATATATTTGCATTTAATATAGAACAGTATATGCTTAAAGGATATTGTATTGTTTGATGAAATAATTATATCATCTAATTGGTATCTCTGTATAATATTTACACAAGATGATGGAAGTTATATAAAAGGATATTAAAAATCATCTACGTTTATCTCTACTTTAAGAATCATTATTGATCAAATTTCATGAAATATTTTATGTAATATTCATATTATGCTATTTTTTTTTTTCTAAATGACAATCATTCCAATAGTTAATTAAACGTTTCTTTTCTAGATAAATTCATTGACAGAAAAGCTGCTTATAGTTTCTGTTTTTTTTAATCGTTCAACCAAATTTAATATTGGTTAAACAATTATTATTTTCCTTATTCTATTGTAACAAGATATATATATATACGTTTATAGTTCGATTATTTAAACTTCAATAATGTTCTACATTTTATATCTTTCTGATTGTGCCTTTTATTCTTCTTCAATGCAGTCATCTTTGTATCCTACTTATAACAATACGTCATTATAAAATAATTTTTGGAAATTTGTTGTCTGGTGACAACATCATTGTGCAAAACATAAAAGCGTCAGTCTTTCGCCAAAATTGATGTGTACTATGTTATATATAGAGTTTATTCTAATTTAATAAAAGAAAACAAAAAGTACATAGAGAAAGTTTAAAAGTTAGTTATGTTGATTGAAATTGTTGATTTTCAATAGCAAATATACGAATGAAGATAAAAAATGTTATAATTAAGACCGAACACACCATTTGATATATACATACTTGTGCAATTTTGTGTGGAGTATTTCTTTTGCCTCATCAAACTATTTTATGTTACATAAATTATTATTTAGTAATTCAATTTAAAAATTTTTTTTTGTTAATAGTTATATTTTCAACATTAGCAATGTGACGTGAACAATGCAGAGTGTAAAATTCAATTTTTCTGATGTATTTTCATTTTGATGTCACTAATAAGTGAATATTTTCTTATATTTCATAATATATAGATGTATTTCAAGTTTACAACTCTGTTGATAAATAATAATATTTATTCAATGAACACGTCGCATTTTTACATTCCATGTATGTCACACAATATATTTACTTGTTAAACAATTATTAAGCGTCTTAAATTTCATACAAGTTTTGGAATAATTTTTTTGTTTTTCAGAAACTTTTTGTTAATTTAGGTAAGTTATGAATAGTTAGTGTGTACAAAATATAGCTATTTATTGCAGATAATTTTATCAAATAATATATATACTTATATTAAACAACAACAATATCATTATATTTATAAAAATTTACCTAATATAGAATATTATTTTATTAATATAACGTTTCATTATATATATAAATACTTATTGAGAAATACAATATAATACATTTAATAAATATGTATAATTAATGTATTATGAATAAAAAGATCACTTGCAAGAATTTCTAATGCACATTTATAATAGAGCTAATAGAGCTTGATTAAGTGCATTTAACCATAACATTTCTATTTCTTTATTAAAGTCTGTCTAATATAGAAATAATTGAATAATTTTGTTGCGCAGAAAGCATATTATTTATTTTTGATTACAGATATGTACTATATTCAACACAGATAAGTACATCATGAGTGTCTGCAATGATTTGAAAGGAATGTACACGAAGGGAAACCACTATAAGGAATGGGCGGTGAAATGTGCAACACGAACACTTGCTCGAGTGATTGACTAAAACGTGTGTCTCAATTTATTTGACGATATATCATCTATTTTGAGTATCAAATCTATTAAAAAGTGGTAAAACTCCCATTTGTTATTATAGTAGTAATGAGCGGTGTTCGTTATAAATATATATATATAATATATATGTATATATATATGTATATATATACATATATAAATATAAATATAAATATAAATACATTATAATATAAATCATATAAGCAAATATGATTTGTGTAATAAGTAATATTAATGGTAATGAATAATAACGATAATAATAATAATAATAATAATAATAATAATAATAATAATAATAATAATAATAATACATTTAACATATACAACATTTGATGAACTTTTGGCACGCAAGCATCTTGTAAGATATAGTACAGGCCATTCCTGCTGCTATAATTACTATGTATTTACTTTTTCTTAGATTGTAATGTGTATAACAGTTCTTGCTCTAAAACATATTGTATATTAATTTTATTGATAAATCATGATAAATTATGAATGATTATACAAAAAAAAAAAGAAAAGAAAATAAACTTGTGAATATTATAATATAATATACTGTCACTTATTTTTTTATACAATTAGAAAGATTGTATCCACAAAGCCAATAAACTAAAAAGATAATCGACTTTTCGTCGTTTTTAGTTACCATTGGCTATTGCAATTAATAATTCCGAATATAGTTTTACACATTTTTTAAATCTTGTATAAAATTTGATTTTTTATAGAAATCTTCATAAAGTACAAGAATGTTAAAATATAAGAGACGTAAACTGAAAAGTACTGCTGAATCTAATGAAACAGAACATGTAACAAATGTCAGGCGAATATTTTTATCTGAACCCTTTGTATCTACTGATTATAAAAATGTAATATTTTATCGAAAAATTAAATCTGAAACAATAATTGATTCTAATACAAATTATGACGATTTGTGCGGTCCTTGGTTTTACACGTATAAATCAGTGCATGCTCATTATGATTTATTAGTTCCTAAATTATGCATTTGGAAATTAATTTCATATAAAGATACAGCTTACATAAAACAACATCAACAAGATAAAGATATTATTTTATCATTTTTCAGTAAGTAAATAATGTGATAATGTTGTTAAATTGAAACAAATCTTATATTAAATTTTTGCTACATTATAGAAAATATATTTTCCGAACATATCCCTAAGGATAGAAACGATATTTTTCTAAAAATTGCTTGGGAAATTTTTGAGGTTACTAGGTGAATAAATTGATATATATATATATATACTTTTATTTATCATAATAAGAATTAATATTTATAAATTCAAGTATATTTATCTTGCATGTGTGTGTGTGCGTGCGTTTATCTTTCAGAGACAATTTATTTAGTATAAAGTGCATTTGCGCATCAATAGGATTATTCTATTTAACGCATCGTTACTTTCTTTCCAATATATGGTATACAATGGAAAACACATATAACTTTTTTTTCAGTACTTTACTTTTACATACTACTATGGTTAGTCCTTAGTATTATATATTATGAATTAATTTTTTAAAAAGATCAAATTTAAGTGATTTTATTCAGATGCATATTATTTGTATTTAGGATCCACCTAAGTCTGATGAGGTATTTAACTTTGACCAATGCGAATTATTACTCGAAATCTTTCATACAATTTATATGGAAAATCTTGCATTAATTCGACTTGCTTGTTTACCACACTATAATCTTAAAATGAGCCTAAATGGTACAACCAATACTTTAGAAGATGAATGAGACATTACCTTTGTATTATTTACACGTTGATCATTGAGAAAAATAAAGTCATTCTTTTTATATGATTAATACAAATTATTATTAAAATATACAATCACGAAGATATATAAAAAAACAAATAGAGTAGTATATATTAATCATAACATTAAGGCATAGATTGTTTGCAAATTTCAGTGATATATAATATTAATTATTACTCTATCTTATTATTCTATCATACATCGATTTTATTCGACTATGCCATAATGACAGATTTTATGATATACTGTCATTTGCTTGCAGATGATTGATAACCACAATCTCGATTATCATCTACTCCACTATTATTCTTTGATGATTTATCAGCTACATTTGCATTCCACCATTGATTATTTTTTTTCAATTGACTTGTTAAATATTCTATCTTAGGGAACCACCAAGAATTGCCAAACACTGAAGTGCGACGTATAGATTTAATCGGGCATAGAGAAGATTTCTTAAAATATAAGAAAAAGTTGAATTTTTTTTTCTGCTTACTATTTTCTATTACGATATTTACATGCAATTTAATATATAACGTGAAATAAGTTGTAATAATATTAAATATAATACATACACCATAGTTTTGAGTCAAATATGAATATCCAACACTTTTAGTATTTTTTCCAATTGTTGTTCTATGTACTTTTTTCAATCTTTGTGTTAATATATTATTCAGTCTTCTTAGTTCTCTTATTTTTATTAAGAAAGTTCTATAAATTAACATTTGTAATTAAATAATGTTTAAATGAAATATTTACCTACTAATAAAATTGATTTTTAATTATAAATACAATGGAATCTTTTATAATAGATAATTACTTCTTTTCGTGTCCAAATTGTTGTTTTAATATTGATAATTGCTGTTGTTTAATTTGTAACTTTGAAACAAGACTTTCAACAAGTTGTCTTTGTTCTGCCATCCATGTACGAATACACGAGACCATATATTGGGATTCATTGCAAAGTTCTGACCTATTTATTACTGTTTCAGTTAATTCTGCTGACACACATGCTAAAGACTTGTCTTTTGATTGACATTCCTTTTTCAACTCCGTCAAAGATTGGTGCATGTTATGTAACTATAAACAGTTACACTTTTCAAAGTTATATTAGTGAAAATAGAAGTTAATATTTAGAAAACATAGTAAATATATCTCACTTGATTCGTAAACTTGTAGTTGTCTTGTTCAAGTGAAGTTTTTTGCTGCACAAGAGTATAGTTTTCATCAATACATTCTTGTAATTGTTGAGTTAGATGACAACTGGAATTGTCCATTTTTTGGTATTTTTCTTGAAGTTCATAAAACTAGTTCATATAAAAAATAAGTTCATATAAAATAATAAATATATTGTTAGAAACATATTATTACTGTTTAATTTATTATTGACTTACATCTTTTTGTGTAGTCTTCAATTGATTGGCAAACGATTTACACATGTTTTGTGTTTGGCAAAGTTCAATATTCTTGGAAGATAATTTCTTTTTAGTATCATTTAATTCTTCATTAAGTTCACATATTAAATTTTCCAATCTAGCAATTTTTCCTTCTAAAATTGAAAGCTTTGAGCAATACTCTGTCTCCTAAAAAAAAAGTATATTTTAAACGATTAAATATGTTTTTATAAAAATCACAAAACGAATTAAGTATAATACTATAATTTATTACTGCAATTGTTAATGATTCTTGCAACTCTGCCTCTCGTCTTGCGGATTGGATCAATTTTTCTTGAGCTTTATTATAATCTTCAGCAGCTTCATAATAATTATTTTTCATAAAAGATAACTCCGTCTGAGTTTCTTTTAACTGCAATAAAAATGGTATATTATAATTTTCTTAGAACAAAAATGAAACATATAATTTATGAGTACTGATACCACCTTTTTCCTTAGCAAATACAAATCTTCTTTTGTTTTGTTTTCCAATACAATGTTTTCTGTTTTTAAAATTGAATTTTCATTCTGTAAAAATAGAAATGTAACATTACTATATATACAAGAAGCATATTATAATAAAGCACATATACATTTATAACTTTATAACATACTTTCAATACTTCATAATCTGCTTCTAATTTTGCCATGCTATCAGATTTTTCTTTGAGTAACATTTTTATTGATAAAAATCTTTCCTTAAAACTTGTGTATTCAGATATGTATCGTCTAACTTGTTGTTCAGATGTATGCAATTTTTGTTGCAATTGGTCTATAGTTTGAATTTGTTTTCTTATTAAAGATTCATTACAATCAATTTGTTGTTTTAGATTTTTTATCTATAAAATAGTGCAATTAAAAGTATTAATATTTAATATGTAACTATTTGTACACTATATATTGCTTAATTAAAAAACTATTTCCTTTTTTTTTAATATATTAATTTATAAATAAACATTACTATTCTCTCCTCTTGTCTTGCTTCCAAATCGATGATATATTCCTTAAAATTAATCTCTTTTTGTTTAGCAATATTTAATTCTACTATTATTTCCTCAAATTCTTTAGTTTGTTTTTCTAAACTTATCTTTAGATTCTGATTTTCATATCTTAAACAACAATTAAGATCTTTTATTTCTTCTTCTTTTATTTTTAATTCTTTTTTAAATGCAGCTAAATCTAATTTGTAATTTTGTAGTTGTTTCTTTAAATTTTCATTTTCTCTTATTATAATTTCAGTCTGAGCTTGTGATTCATCATTTTCAAATGAATTTTCTAAATATTCTTCTTTATCTAATATTGAAGAATCTTCTGAACTATGGTTCAGTACAAGATTTTGTGTCATACAACTCTTGTGTGCAATATCCACTTTACATTGGATGCATTTATTTTCGTATATATTTTTTTCTTTCTTGTCCTCGGATAACATATTTCTGGAAAATTATATTATAATATAATTTACTATTTTAAGGTGTAAAAGAGTGTCCTGTGTGTGAAAAAAGTAAAATCGATTAATTCTGTAATACTTTAATTCTTGCAGTTCCTGATTCGTTTCTTTCCACAATTTCTTTACAGAAATATATTTATTTTCCAAAAGATTATTCGCTTGCATTAAAGTATTTATCTGTAAAGTAATAAAAATGTAACTGTACAATGAGATTTTGATGAACTTGTAAATAAGAAAAATCGTTACCTTATATATTAAGGCTTGAAAATCATTTGTACAAAGCTTCAGTTGACCCTACAATAATTAAATCAAATTATTTTCTTCATAAATATATATAATTCATTATAGTAGTAATAGATAACTAAAAGATAAATATTAGGTCGAGTCATAAATAACTTCCGTTTTTATGAGACAAAAAATAGCGTTTCTGCCACTAATAAGTGCACGACACTTTTCATGGAGTTTTTTTTGCACTCTTTGCAATTGTTGGACCTATCTATTGGATTTTGCTCCAATATTACCTTTTAAAAGGTTTATCAAAGTTGGAAAGACGTCCTGCACTCGGTTCGTCTTTTAACACTAGATTTACGGATGTTTTGTTCATTATTTTTTAATGACGTAATAACATTGTTTGAATAAAGGATTGAGTAAAGGAATTGAACTAATATTTACGTATATTTCATTACGTAACTAAAAACCAATAAGTTTTCAAAAAATAGTATTTAAATTTTATAAATATATAAAATAATCAAATGTTCAATGAGTCAAATTGGCTCAATTCGTAAATCTAGTGTTAAGGTCGTATTTCCAGAACGGAATTTTACAAACCAATTTCTGACTGCCCTATCAGTTATCAATCCTGCACCGTATATGCTGCATATTTTTTCAGCTGCCACTTTAGTGCTATTGCCTTGTTTCAATTCCTAAAGCATTACATGTCGAATATGCACTTTTTACTATACATTTCAGTGGTTAAGAAAAACATTTAAATATAACATTGACTACATAAAAAAAGTTGACAGAAGACTAACTGAATCCTCATCTATACAGTGATATCAACAATTCGTTTGTTTTGGTGACTTATAGTAGGTAAATACGAAAAAACATCGGAAGTTACTTATGACTCGACCTAATAAATACCTTACTATTACTAGATTTATTATTCATATTAATAATTTCTATAATATTAAATTTTAAACTAATAATGTAAATTTTTAAATGTTAATAACTTTATAATTTATTTAAATCAGGAATACACACACACATAAATTATATTATATTAGCATGAATCTTATTGCTATACCTGTACAGCACTTAATATGGAATAATATGTAGTATGTAAAGATGTAACTACTAAATGTTTATCATTAATCATGTACTCAATTTTCAATTGCAAAGTGTTTATGGCGTCTCGTTGCAATTCTAATAAATTTTCTTGTGCAGCAGCCTTCATTTAGGAAATAACATATTAATATTATAAATTTAGAAAAATACACATAAAGATTAAAGAATTAAATATTAAACTTACTTCTGCGAAGCAGTTGCTATATTGACTCTGAGTTTCGTCAATAAACATTGTTAATAATTGAATTGTTTCATCTTTAACAAAATCCTGCAAAAAAGTTAACTTCCATTCAACATTTTATTTGTAGTTTTTAAAGTATTAACCATTATAAAATGTATAATAAAAGCATAATAATTCAATAATTAGCGCAGTTTATAATATAGTTAGTTAAATGTCATACACTTATTTAATAAGCACTTAAGAAACTTATATAATAAAGTGGATATAATTGTTAGATTAGAAGATTTGATAAATATACACACCTTTTTATTAACTTAATGTTATTGTAAATAAAATAATACATACCACATGCATCGCGAATATCATAACACACTGACTTCAACTTTTTGTAACACATCACGCTTATGCACTCACAATTAATTACTCATTGCTATATTCGGAAAGAGATAATAAGAGTTTTGTATTTTCGCATTGAGTATAGCATTGAAAAATGTTTAAAATTCATCGTGTCAAAAGAAGAAATAAGGCTAGGCTATTTAGAAATATCTCATTTGCGTAAATTACCATTTTAATGATAATATTTGAAAAATATTTACAATAATAATTACTATTAGTACATACATACATACATACATACATAGTTCTCTAAGCTTCTTAGTATACTTTCAAATCATTGTTCAATATGTTCATAAAAGCAATTTAAACATCATGCACATTCCCGTGACCGAATGTTGAACTCGACGAAATCGAACTCCACAGTTCGTTCACATCACTTACTGCTTTATGTCCCATACTATCTAAACATCTTTTGGCTTCAACCACAGCATTTTGCAAATGTCCAATTGTCTGTGCTTGAAGTTCATTCTGTACAGGATACAAGAGATGTATATGATATTAACTTTATAAATACATTATTATTTTTATAAATATAAATCATTCATAAATGTATGCATAGAGTACAGACCTGTTTCGATAATTCTTTTTTTTCTTTTTCACATTGAGCTATAATAAGATCCTGCATATTAATCTGAAAAAAAAAGAAAAAAAAAACCAATAAAATTGGTACTACATAATGTAGTACAAAGACATTTATTTTTTACATACCTTCATTAATAACTCTTGGAAATAAAAATATATTACTTTGTGCTTCGTTCATTATTCATAATCACATTTAAAAAGCAAGATAGAATACCGCGAGTTAAAAAGTTTATGACAATTAAATTCAATTGATAAAATAATATTATTATAGTTTATATGTAACGAACAATTTGAAAAAAAGAATATGCGCTGTAGATGTGATCTACTATTAGTGTATTTAAATATTCATGCACATCCAATATAATTTAATTAGTTTATAAATTCGTTTCTTAACCAGTTAAGCGTGTTTGACGACTATATCCGTCATGGACATGTGGCAAAATTTTGTGTTATGACGTCTCTATATCTGTCATGCGTAAAAGTTTGTTACAATTTGATGTTTAAATTGTAATTTTGGCGAAAACTAAATTACATTCGCAAATTTTAATATGTTTAAAATGTTTAGAGGTCAAAAATAAAAAAAAGTCAAGAATAAATTGTTAACTTCTATAAATATTCGATTTTTTTTCTCTAATTTTTCCTTTTATTATGTATAAATATATGTTCATATTAAGAAACAGTGTGTACATTACTAACAAAATTGTTCATTTTCTAAAAAAAAGTCGTCTTTTTGACTATCCAATATTTTAACAGCGCCACTTACTTTGTGTTTGACGACTATATCCGTCATTGCTTGATTATCGCGACACACACCAGAGCGCACTCTGCGCACAGATCGCCACGCTTAACTGGTTAAAATTATTATTTTTTTTCTAATAAAATTGTTAATCTTAACTATAACTTATAAAATAACAAAAACGTGTAACGTTTATAGCGTTTACGAGTTTTTTCATAATTATAAAAATGCAATTTTTCTATAAGACTTACCTTTTCCTGTTGTTTTTTATAGAGACTCTTAAGTTCATTTTGTGTTACTGCTATAGAATCACTCTGGATCATAACTACTTGGTTCATATTTTCTAACTGAAATAAAATGTATGCACATACATATTCACATATATATCTATAGTTATTATATCTATTTAATTTTATACTTACAAGTTTATCTTTGGAACACAATGTATTTCTAAGATTTTCTATATCTCCATAACATTTTTTTAATTGTCCTTCATATTTTCTTAATTTATCAATGATCGTCATTACCGAAGTTACTGTAGTACAAGGTTGAGCAGATCCTTCACGTACCTAAAAATTATTTCTTTCTAATATTTTCTTGTATTTTCACAATATATTTTTTAAGATATAAATGTTATAAAATACTGTTCAATATTTTAGAAGTGGTGCTAATAATACGAAGTAATAAAAACATTCATCTGATTTCAAACATACCAGCAGTTTAAGTTCGCATTCAATATCTTGAAGACCATTTTTTGTAGATTGTACTGCTTCTTGTAATATATTAACAAGCTGAGTTGTATTCTGTAAAAATGAAAAAGTTGTAGTTAAAGACAATTACGTATCTTATTTAAAATGTTTCATAATATATATTTTTATTAAAATTCACATTAATCAAAGTTATTACCTCTTGTCTAAATTGGTATCCACTACACATAGATAATTCTTCTGGAGTACATTCTATATGCTTTTTTTATCAAATAAAAAATAATATACGCTCATTATTTGTATATATATTATTTTTATATGAGTAAGTCACATTTAATAAGTAATGCCACTTCATTTTGTATGGGAAGTGCAAGTTGGAATATTTTATGTGTTAATATTTCAGTATTTGTTTAAATAATTTTGTATATAAGAGGAAATCAAGTTCCATGAAAAAAAAGGCTGCTTTAACCCTTTCGCACCGGCTGGAACATATGCTGTCCCAGTTGGAAAAATTTTTCAATCAATTCAAAACTCAATCGTGAAATCACTGTTGTTGATGGTGCACTGTTATGGGGACATTTATGCGTCTCCAAGTTCTTCAATCTTTTAGGCATAAAATTTATTTTATCTAATAATCGCTTGGAGGAGAAATGAACTGATCTTTGTAGTGGGACTCACTCGGACTGATTTTTCGCAGTATTGAAAGGGTTAAATACATTTCTTTTCAAACCATTCCATTATTAAAACTGACTGTGATATTCCAACATGCAATTTCAATAAGAACAAATAAAATGTTCATATATGCTTCTTACAAAAGGTTCCAAAAGTTTCCTTGACTTTTGAAGCTCTGTTTCACTGTTATCTAAACTTTGTCTTAATTTTGATTCTACTTCTTTTTGTATTTTGATCTGAAAGTATATAAAATAAGAAATTTTTATTCCATTACTGTTTTTTTTAAATGTAATTTCTATTTTTATAATATATATTATTATATTAAGAAAAAAGAAAAAAAAATTTATTACTCACGATATTTTCTAATTCTAAAATTCGTTTTTTGTACTCTATACTATCAACAGAATGGGAACGTCTATAATTTTCTGCTTCTATTCTTACAGAAGATAATTCTTTCTCCATTGATTCAATATTATTTTTCAGGAAGTGATTGGCTTCTTGTTTACATTTAGTCTGAATATATAACAAATAATAAATGTAGAAATCAGTAATAAAATATGTTAACTTATCACAGTATAACATTCAGCATTAAAAATAATTTAAAAAATGTTAAGTTCATCACCTCGTGTTTTAAAATACGAAGCTGTTCCTCCAAATCTATTATGCGACATTTACATTGATTTATTTTATCATCAGATTTTGCTTGACATGCCTTCTGTAAATGAAAAAATTAGAATTTCATTGCATATGCATTTTATTTTTGAACACGACAAAATAACGTAAAAATATATAAATATATTTTCATACCTGTAACATTTTTTCTTTGTAATCATCATATTCCCTTCTTAATTTATGTATATCTTCCTTTGCTTTTAATAATTCATTAATTGTCTAGAATTTATATCATAGATATTAATTTTGTACAAAAGTTAAATTTAAAGTAATAATTAACTAATTAATATTCAAATATACGTAGGTTGGAATTTAAATAGTGGCAACTATTTATTTACAACCGATACAAAAGAGTTACATGTTTGCACCTGTTACTGTCCTCCAAAGTAGTCACCAGCGTTGTGTAAAACCCATTAGCAGAGCCTGTTCTGTTGATGGTGCGAATGGAGCGGTCCTACTGCCTGTCGAATCTTGGCAACAGTTCTGAAGCGAATGTCACGATGGGTTCCGCATGAATTGACGGAAATGCAAAATTTCTTACGCCGTATCGTAACACTGGATGAGACATGGCAGCAGACCGCTCCATTCGCACCATCAACAGAACAGGCTTTGCTGACGAGATCTTACAAAACGCTGGTGACTACTTTGAAGGACAGTAACAGGTGCAAACACGTAATTCTTTTATATCGATTGTGAATAAATAGTTGCCACTATTTAAGTTCCAACCTACGTATATAAATTATGTATTACCTGATTTTGACATTGTAAATCCGCTGAATGATTCATAAAATCATCCTAAAAGAATGTTGTAGTATTTTATTATTGTAATATTTCATTTTAATTGTTATTATTGCATGAAAAAAATATATTTAAAACCTGTTCTATCGTATTCCAGAAAGTTTCCAAAGTATCTTGCATCTTTGTATGTGCATTATCAATTTCTGCTTCAAGTCTTCCTAATTTTTCTTCTTTTTCACAAAGAATTGTTTCATCCATTTCATTATGCATTAACTAAAATAATTTGGTTGAAGAACAAATATTGCAATAAATAAATTATTACAAAAATAATAATTCTTACAATTGTACTCATGCGTTTCTGCAAATCTTGAAAGGAACATGCTGTACAGCAAAGTTGTTCTTTCAATTCTATTGAATTTAACATAAGAAAACAATCCTAGAAAAATATGTATATATAAATTATAAATATAGAGTATTGAACATTTCATTCATTTTGATTCGATAATCATTTTTATTTACTAAATTTAAATAATGTTTACCTGATTTTGAAGAGCTTGAACATGATTAACTACAAGATCAACTTTATCAAGCATAAAGTTTAATAAATCATTACACGTATACATTTCTATGCATTCAGGTAGATTTTGATCCTAACAAATTAACGTAAAAAATGAAAAACAATATTAATAAAAGTATAATTTAAAAAAAAAAAAGGAGTGTAATTGATTATACATATTAAAAATATTGTACCCTTGATTCTTTGATTTTTTCTTGTATATTATTCACATAATTAATTAATTCAGATTGGGCACGAATAAATTCATTTTGTACATCTTTTAATTTTCCTTGCTCGACTGTAATTCGTTCAATATGCCTTGGTCTTTCTATTTGCTATACAATAAATTAAAAAGTATGGTTATAAAGAACATATATTATTTTTTAATGTAATATAATGATTTTGACCTTACTTGTAATTCCAATGTATTAATAGTTTTTAATACTGTTTCTCGCAATCTCAATAATTGTTCTTGAGTATCTCTGACCATTTCTTTTAGTTCAGTGTACTAAAAATATTACAAATGAATATTATATTGTGCAATACTTTTATAATTTATAACTGAAACTAATAAGGAAAATCATCAACTGGTCCTCCTCAATTACGATAAGAACTGATGTATATATATATCATGATTATCTAAAGTATATAGTATATATATGTTTTGTGAAGTCAGTAGTTGACTTCGGCTGTCCCCGAACCAGTCCGGGACTGTTGTGCATATTACTTCGGGCTGGCCGGCATGTTTGATCATCCTCTTAATTTGTTTGTCAGTCGTCTAGACATCGTCTGTTCGTTTTTGTATGAGTACGTGCGTCACATAACGCCTCACGTCATCCCACTTGTCCTGGTCCAGAGTCATAGCGGACATTATGTTGCCCGGGGTCAGATCTCCTGTCCTAATTCGTAGCGTCCGTCTGGCGTCTGTCCACCGCGGGCACACGAAAAATGTGTATTCCGCGTCGTCCTATGCATGTCCGCAGTATCTGCACGACGGGGACGTTACTTTCCCCATACGGTACAGGTATCTGCGGAAGTATCTAAAGTATAGTACTAAACATACACCAATTTCCATCATGATTAGGGAAGACCGATTGGAGGGTACGTCTCTACTAACAATTTTAGACAAATATAAGGATATACTTTTTGATGCTGAGCAGTGAATGAAGAAAGAATAGTACTAATTTCTTCACGAATGTCTTCTGTTGCTGCTTGAGCTTCAACAGTACATACACGATATTCCTCCATTAATTTAAATTGTTGAGTAGTAATTGGATTTTTCTATGAAAAATTGACCAAAAAATAATAATAAATAATATAAGAAAAACAATCAAATAAATCTATAATATAAAAGATATCAAAGATGAATAAAAATAATATATATAGTTTAATAATTATAGATAAAATTATAGAATACTTACAATAATATCTTTTGACATTTCTGTGATATAATTATTCGTTCTATTTTGTATCTATAAAGATAAAATAAGCAATGTATATTCCCTATATTTAATTTTACATTTAAAACATTATAGATATTTAATGTGTGTACCTCATTTTGTTTATTTGTCTGAAATACAAAAATATAATGTAATTATATAAATTTTCTTTGCTAGTATGCAAGTGACTGTGAATACTTTATTAAACCTTTGCATTCGAGAGATTACTATCGGTCAACAATACATACATGCAAAACAATAATCTTAAATATGTCATCGTATTACGTCATATGGAAATTCTCGAGCTGCTGATTCGCCCGAACGAACAAGGACTCGAGTGCAAAGGATTCAAATTTATATTGTATGCAAAGTTATACATACAGCAAATTCCATAATCTCAATCGCTTTTTTTTTTTCTTTACATATTCTGAAAATATTTTCAATATCCTTTATTAATTTGTCTGATGTATCATGCATCCATGTATCCACACTTTTATCTGCATCATGTCTCTGTAATAATAAGAAGTATTAAAATAAAACTATTTTTTCGTTAAAAAATAATTCATATTTGTTATTTAAACTTATTAAAATATAATACATACATGTTCTTCATTTTGCAATGTATCGTGCACGCATTTCAATTGGACTTCAATATTTGCTATAGAATGTTGTATGGTTTCTTCAGTTTGCGACTGTAAAAAATATACTTCCTATGATCCAAATTGTTATTAAACTTTTAATGGAAATTACAATGGAATTTAATTTACAAAATTAATTGTCAATAAACATTTTTCCTTCAAAAAGAATCAATGCATTATTGTGTTTATTATATTTATTCAATTGTAAATCATTACAAAAGCACTGCATTACTTTGTATTATATAGTTAAGAGTTTATGATATTTAATAATTTTGCTTTTATAATTAATGGATTCCTTATAAAACACACGAACTCTTCTCTTTATCACTCTACAATATTAGAAATACTGAAAAATGTTTATTAATTATAAGTGTAAGATAATAATATTTCATAATCAGACAGTCATGAACATTTATTTACTTATTTAGTTCCAATTCAAGAGATTTATAATTTAAATATTATTTTATAATATTTATATATATAAATGCTTTTATGTATGTTATTTAAAAAAAATGATCTTACTATATATTTTAGATAATAATGAACGTTTAAATGCATTAACTTACTTTATCATCTTTCGAAGTTTTTAAAATGTTTAAGATTTTTGTAATATTCTGTATCTTTTTATAAGCAGCTGTAAAATTATTCTCACATGTCTGTAAATATATCACATTTCATTATATTATAATATTATAATTAATTAAACATATTGAATTAATAAAAGCAATTTTATAAATCTTCAAACTCATTTATACAATTTAGAAATATTTTGATTATTTATTAACTTACCTCAACATTTGTCTTATTTAAGCGTACTATAATTTTCTTTAACTCTGACTTCAAATCATCAAGTTGTTCTTCTTCTCTTTGTAATAATAAATTTGTCTTGGAAAAGCAACACATAATCATTTGCTAAAAATAAAATTCTGTATGTTATAAATATTATTAATAATATTAATATATAAAGTACATATGTAAATTGTATAAAATTGAATTAAATCAAATAATATAGAATATACCTGATATGAATTAGTTGGATTACTTAAAGGATCTGTATCCTATAAAAACATTATTATTATATGAAATAGAGACAGAAATGTTATTTTCAATGCAGCATACTTTTACTCACCAATAAATAAGTATCAGCATCGATTTCATCTTTCGGTGCAGAGAAAATATTCTGAAATTATATAGATTAAAATGATTTCTCTTATTTCGTCAAAAAATACTTTGTATGTATAGATAAATATATAATGGATACATATAGAAAGAGAGATAATATTATATCATAAATAATAAGGCAACCATGCTGAAAATTGTATATACAGTGAGTCAAAGGAGTATTCATAATCGCTCTAACTGTAAAATTCAAATAATTGATATTGTCTCATAACGCAAAACTTCAAATTCATATACACATAAACTTATTTTAGGAATATGTATTAAACTTTTAAATTGATATCAATTTTATTGCACAGGTACAGATGCTTCATGTATACTTATTACTATCACAACATATATTTATTACTTCTCACTGTATACATTATTTCAATATATAATCTATTTTCATTATATTATCATTTGCTCAACATGAATATCAGTAGTTACTTGTTAGAAATGCTCATGATTTATTGACTTTTTAATTGTGTTGTATGATAGTATCTTTACAAGCTGGTGATAAATTTCTAATGGATTTTGTAATATTTTTGTCAATATTTCGTTGTCTATTAGTTTTTTCAATTTCCGTTTTGTAAATGTTTTGTTTAGAAAAATTATCTAGATTAGTTGTTATAGTATTTTCTAACTGTGAGTTAATAATGGGTATATTTTCAGTAGTTTCTTTATGTTGCACTAAAGTATCAAAATTATTCAATGGAAAAGATGCATGATCTTTGCATTTGACAACCTTATATAAGTGACATGGTATCATAAATTCATTGCATAAAATATTTGAGAATCTTATATTACCATTAGCATTGAATTGTCGAGGATAATTTGATACACAAGAACACGTAAACTATAAAACAAAGGATTATAAGATAAAATACCCAAAATAAAATAGAGACTGTAAGTGTACCTTCAATTTTATGAATTCCTTTCTCATTTTTTTAATAATATCATCTCTAAAATTGATATCATAATTATATTGTTCTTTTAATTTTGCAATTTCTTGGTTCAAAGATATTATTAACTTATTTTTGTTTGTTATTTCTATGGATAATGCTTCACGTGTCTCCATAAATTCCTAACAATAGCATACATAAATGATGTAACGATTAAATTCAAAAGAGCATATGGAAAAATAAATATAACAAACCTTTTTCAGACTATTCATTTGACATTTTATTTCCTTAATCTCTTTATTTTTTCTTTTTAACTGAGAGTAAAAATGCGTCATATTTGTTATATTTGACTCGGTATCTTGTAAATGTTTTTGAAGTTTTTTAACTTCTACACCATTATCAACATATTTACTTTCCACTATGTCATCGATTAAGATTGTCTGAACGATAATAAAAGTTATAAAACTATCCCTTTTTTTTTTAATCAAAAATATGTAGAAACAATACAAATGAACTAAAAGTATTAAGTTTTATAATAGTAGTTAATTTTTATATATCTAATTCTTTTAATATAAAACGTGGCCTCTTGGTACTACTGTATTGTCTTTTAATATATTATATTTTAATTTCTATTTCAACATGATTGCCTATAGAATGATTAACAAACTATAACTACAAAATAAATGCCTATTATTGCTGTATCAATTATCCCAATTAATCTTTCTATATCGTGGATTAAAAAAAAACTTACATTATCAGAATTTGTAGGAACTGATGACGATCCAACAGTAATATGATTTGCTTGCTGAGATCTTGGTGTATGTTCATTACTAAGACACTGGGCATCGGAAACATATGTTGTTACAGTTTCTTCTCTTGGTAATTTTTTGTAAATGTCAGCATTTTCTTCAAATTTCATTTGATACCTGCAAAATATAATTAATATATATATAATGCACTTAATTATATGATCTTAATTTACAATTAGTTAAAAAGGAAATTAAAACGTTTCATTTAATTCATTAATTATATATACTTACATATCAATATTTTTATCATCAGCTTCTAGTTCTGCAACTTGCTATTTAAAAAAATATAATTTATTCAATTGCCATTACTAGATACAAGAATGCTTAATTATACAATAATTTATGATTATTGATTATTTAATTATTACTGATGAATAAATAAGAGGGATTGTAAAAAATTATGCTTTAATTTAAACATACCTTTGAATTTATAGTGTTATCTATATTTAGTTGAGTGCATACACAACTGTAACAAACAATTAAAACAATAAAAAAAAGCCAATAATAACAAGTCACTGTTCCCTATTTATACTTACTCAAGAGGAGTTGGAATATCATTAGGATTAATAAAATAAAATTTGATACCATCAAGACTCCAACAATTATTTTGTTGAGCTCTTTTAAGCAATTCTAATAATCCTTTGATATCAATCCATAGAAAATCAATTTTTTGATGGAGATACTTCTCATCGTCTTCTAGTTCTCTGATGCGATTTGAGAGGACGTTTAATCTCTAAAATAATATTAATATTTTTACATGTTACAAGATAATATATAAATGTATAACAAATTACCTCCTCTGATTGATTTGATAACAAAATTTTATCCGAAACAACTTTAGACGACTGTTTTAATTTTTCTTCTAATATTTTGACTCTGTCACTAGCAGTTTGTTCCAGATCTTGTACAGTATTAACTAACATAATATTCTGTTCACCTAAGTCCTTAATCCATTCTGTCATAATTTTCATTTTCATCTAAAATTAAGAGTATTATTTTGTTCATCTATACTAAATTATACTAAGAATTTAATTTCAATTTAATAAAGAAATAAATGTTGACATAATGAACGACATAAACAATTTTATGCTGGAAATGAAAGTAAAAGCATAAATTAAATTATAATTAATCTCACCGATACACGATCGAATTCATTAGCTGATTCTGAATCGACTTTTTCAATACGAGCTTCATACAATTTACGGAACTCATTGAGAATCTGTAAGCTTTCTGTTTCGCCGCAAGTTTCTCCAGTATTTTTATCAATTGCTGTGCAAATTTGCTCACAATTTGGCAAGACAGAGAGGTTCGTAGAATCTTGGACAATGGTACTGACCGTATACATGGCACAATTGGCAAATTGTACATTAAATAGAATTATTAACACCTCAATATTCTTAAAGTTAAGATCTTCTTATACCCAGAGGTGGAGAATAATAGTAATAATTCTGATGCTGTGAATAACAACAAATTAAATCGCCATTTTTTTATAAATGGCGCGAGCAAACAACGGATGTCAAGGAAAACTTTGAAGTGTAGGTAATTGTAGGTAATAAGTAGTAATATGCGCTGTAAGAGAATATTTTTTTTTCAATCACTCATAAATGTTATTGACCTCTTACGGGGGGAATTGCATCAAACAATCTCGATGGTAGTTAATGCAGAAATCTTTCATTTTAAAATAATATACCGTAATAGATCACATATTGAATTTAAAATAAAACATTTATACATTTTGTTCTTATATTGAAACTATAGTGTTACTTTTGGTAGTAATAAAAAAAAACAAATAAATTAATTTAAATAATAAAATAAAGTTAAAGTAGAGAATATATCAACGATCGATAATACCAATTTATAATCTCATTTCATTAACATTAGATAGCGCAAGTGTGTTACTCTTGTATAACTAATTGTGAGTACGTAATGTAAAGAACCATTTAATTTTTAGAGGGAATATGATTTGAAACGTTGTTTAGAAGCATTGTTAATTGTTTATCAAAGTATTTAATAGGTATAAGAATTACTATAAGATCATGAATTAAATAAATTTTTTCTGTGTTCTTTACATAAAACAAGAGAAACTGAAAAAGCAATAAAAAGAGGTTATGTTTAGACCTTAGTTAGTGTGATATTATTTTATCTCGGTTAACCTGATAATAGTATAAGTAAAATGAATCAATTTTTTAGAACGAAATTCATTATGTTAAAGTATAATCATGGATATATTAAAAGAAGTTTAAAATCTATTAAATATATAATAAAATTGGTTAATTTATTTAATAAGGAAATGAGTTACGCGTGTAATTGTTATTTAAAAAAGAAAAGGAAGAAAAGAAGATAGAGATAGTGCGCGCGAGAGAAAGGGTTAAAGAGAGAAAGAGAGAGAGAGAGGGAGCGAGTAACGTGGTAGGAAGTTGGTCGCGATTGAATTTCAGTCGAAGCGCGCCAGGCAAAGCGAACGTGGGTCTCTCGAGTGGGTTACCATTATTTTTTGTTCATCTTCTATTCTATCTCTCACTGCGATTGCGCATGAGGAGAGCGCGAGTTTGATGCTGCGCGCGCATGTTCTCTCGATTCTTCCTATATATATATATATACATATACATATACACATATTGTATATACAATACTTTAGCGGTCAATCGTGAATAAACAGCGTGCAGTATTTATTCCGTATCTTCCTCGATGATTTTTTGGACTACGACAAAAAGTAAATAAAAGTGAAATAGTGTGGTGTTGTTTTTATGTGAAGTGTAATGTGTTTTACTTGTTACTCGAGATGGATGGATGCATCGAGAAAAACGAACGAGGATTAGTGTCTTCTTCTTCTTCAAAGAATTCAATAGGGTGATGATGATCTTTTAGGAGCAATTTTGATGAGAAGATAAGAGAAACCAATTTAAACGAGAATGGAATTTGGCAGTTACAAAGGGACCGGATCACGCGTCAGAATGCGTAGACGTGCAGAATTGGGAAGACGTTTAACGAGAAGACTCTCATTGGTTGCAAAAATGCCGGCTGCCATTCTTAACAGGGCAAATCCTCCCGAACTTAGATCAATCGAGATCACTGCGATCGCGCCAGACAAAACACAACTCACCGTAAGTTTTTATATCCATCATTCTCTCGAGATACATTTTATTCGTAAGTGAACACAGACAAAAAAGGGGTCACGTGACTTTACTATCCTTTTGCATTGTTTTTTTTTTATTTATTTTAACGAAAAAAACGCATCTCTAGTTCATCGATCGCGGAATAAATAAATTTAATTATGATCGTTAAATATATCCTCGTAATAATTTGTGAAATTAATTTTTTTACAGTATTTTTGCTATTTGTAAACATTTCACTTTGTTTTATTCCCTTATCGTACGTGTATATATATAATTATGTATTATATTCAATTTTATGAAACATTATAATAAATATGCACGAATATCAATATATATATGTATACTTGTTCTTTATATAAAGTAAAAATTTATAAACGAAACTCTCGCTTTGTAATATCAGCTGTTATGGATTTGTCGCAATGACCGTCCGCCATCTTTACGTATAAATTTTAGCGATCTATAATTTCTATTTTAAATAGAATTATTTATTTCGATCGTATAGGCTTATATACCGTAGCATATTATTTTTATTTAAATAAATAATCTAATTATATATATATATATATATTCATAGTTATTAGAGAATAGTCTGGATAACGCTTATAAAAATTCTATACAAAACATAAGCATTTATATATAGTCGAAGTAAATTACGCGATTTCTTGAAAAGAAAATAGTTGCAACAAGTAGTTAATGTTATGTTAAAGTTACGTTTATAGAAAACTAGAGACAACAGGACATACGTATCGATTGAGTTTTACAGAGCGGTTTCTCGGTGATATTGAAGTCATGCAGAGAGCTTTCACCAATGTTCTTACGTCATCTTTGAAGAAAGGTGACGACTCGTATCGGAGTTTAGTCGTCGCAAATATTATTCTTAAACAATCGGAAATGTATAAGGCTTGAAATATAATTAGTCGCTGTATTATGCAAAAATCTTATTTAAACTCATTTGATAAGATATTAATCTTTTAATCCCTATATTATCTCAATAGCATATCACATTATTTCAAATTATAAGCCAATTAATAAATTAGGAAGATAACGCGATCATTATAATATATTTTTTTTTGTAATCATGTTGGCAATATTTCATGGAATTTAAAAGCACTTAAATTTACATTAACGTGCATCATTGATTAAGGAATATTATTGTAGACTCAACAGTACGATTGACAGATTTAAACGAACGACTGTTATAGAATTAAACGAAGGAGAGAAACAGTGTTGCGGACAGTTACGTATAAAGTTCAAAAAAGTTCTAAAGGTCGAGAGTGGAATGATGGTATATATACGTGTGTGTTTACGTGTAAAAATATCTAGACAATTATAGTTGAGATCCAGTTATAGTACCTTTGTTATTTGCTTATGCAATAGCGACTACCGTACCGAACATAAGGTTTCGTCGATCCTTCACAATTTAAATGTCATAGAATAACTGTGCTTAGTTTTTGGTAAGATCACCGATTTCAAAATAAACGCGAAAGAATTCATTTATAATATTGTTGATCAAACTTTTTTCCAATATATTTAATTACAGCGATTAGAATCACAACAACTATTACCTTTTCAGTATTTTTAAAAATTAACAAAAACATTGTAGTAATATTTTGTTGAAATCTCTTAGAAATAACTCTCTAGTTTTGGTGTGCAAGCTAGCAGCTATCATTTTACGATGCACAAGTTGAGAAATAGCGATTTAGAATATCTATTGCGTTTGCCAATAAGTAATGTCGGCGCGTTAAGTATTTTTAAATAAACAACGCTTAAATAGTTTAAATGAAAAACATTGATTAACAATTCGATATATAAAATTAGAAAGGTATCATATGAAATGACGGTACTTTTAATTATAGGTAAAATAGGCGTATATCTCGATGCAATCTGTATGCAATCTCTAGTTGTACCTTCTTAGGAGTGACCTTTCTTAGCTCTCTTCCTCGAAATGTTGCTCGATAATACTTCATGCTAATACTCTTTCCGTGTAGCTCGATCGCGTGTGTTCGATCTTTTCGATACGACATATGCACACACGTACGGTATTTAAACATTCCTGGGAGAGAGAGAGAGAGAGAAAGAGAGAGAGTAATGTACTCTCGATCGAAAATTTATTAGTGCGAGTTTAGTTGCATTTTCCATCGCGTATAGTTTAGAATCTCTGTTGTTAGAGAGACGAGAGATTTTCCTTCCATTCTCTTTCTCCACCCGCAGTTTGTAGCGGTGTATATGCGATACCACACAGTGAACCGCGATATTCGGTTCAAGAGCTATCGAGCTTACGGTCTCTCCTAATGGAAACAAGCCGTACACCAATATCGAAATACGCAAGTCGTAACCTTACGCCCATGTTTCTTAACGTATTGCTGATACAGGATACGCGTTACGATTTAAACCTCGCGAGTTCTGTGCCGCCGACAATGAGTCATCGTAGATATCTGCTAATTCCGATATACAACCGCTCTCCTTTCTATATGCATTATACGAACGATCCTGCTCTCGCTATAATATAACATTCAAATCATTTAATTTAAAACGACCCGAACGTATATTTCATTTTCAAACGATTGGATAAATTAATGACCAAACTTTGACCCGCTGTTCCGAAGAGAAATTCGACGTTTATTCAATTTCATATTTATATATACGCCCCATTCCTATCTCTAGTTAATTGTAATCGTAAAAACGATTTATGTTTCTCTTCCGTTTCTTCCGTGATTCTTTCAATGCAGTCATATTTTACGTTTTAATTAAGCGTAGAAAAGTCTAGTTGAAATTTACAAAAATCCATATATCTTTTTTCTTTCTTTTTCTTTTTCTTAATTTATGTTATGCACATACATTAAATAAGTACCATCCGCTCGTATGATAGAGAGCAGATTGCACTGCGCATATCTTTGTATGCATCGTTGCATTGTTTACCAATGACGTACAATCGAAAACGTCCTTCAATAGCTAATAATAAATTCTTCTCTTCAAGGACTCCAATTCGACACTATCGCTTAGAATGAAATCAACTTCCAAATTATTATTTCTATGTGAAACGTGTCGTCGTCGTCGTCGTCGTCGTTAGGGGGAGGACGGAAACTCGTTATCTAGATTTCTATCTGAAATCATATCTCTTCTGATTATAAAATTGTATTTAAAAACTAATTATTAAGATTATTCATTCGTATCGTTAATATTAAATTTATTCAATAATCTCTCGTTGTTAAACTTTTGAACTAACGGA